AACAGTAGGAGGGGCCCAGCAGAGTATGGATACTGATTGGCCTTTTTGGCTCAGCACGACAGCCTATGGGAGCCCTTCAACAGGTCATTGTCAAACAGGCAGCCCAGCCATCCCTCATCCATTGTGCAATTCTTCACGCGCAGGCAGCTGAGCAGTAGCCTTGCATGGGCTTACGGCGTGAATCTCATCTCAGATCTGATCCCCCGGGCGCCAGCGGCTGACACACAGCTCTGGTCCTAGTCTACTTGTAGACGTCATGAAGCGAGAAATCTCTTGAACAATATGGGGTTTTACAAAATGCGAGGACGAAAGTGTCGCCCCCGGCCTCGGCCAAATGACTCCCTGGGAATCTCGGGACAGGGCTGGACCAGCCTAGCGACGCGAAGCATCGTGTAAACTTCACAGGTTCGAATCACCGCCGTCACGCACTTGTCGAAACCCGCCAGGTAGCAACGCGTGCACGCAATCGCTCCATCGGCCTCAGGTTTGGGGAAGAGCACTGTGGATTCTGCAACAGGAGGAAATGGACCGGTGTCGGCGATAGAGGGACAGCGTGGGCGATTTAGTCACCGGTTCGCCGACGTGTCAACATGGAAGCGACCTATCTTCTCCGTCATGGAGAGTGACTCTTACGATGTGCTGTCCCTTATCACCGCAAATATGGCCCGTTGCGGGGGGGGACAAGTCCGAAGAGGTAATGTTACTGGACTGGACGGTCGAACCTACGATGCCTCTCTCTCAACCAACCCGACCTCTTCCGTAGAAAGCGAGCCCGAACGATCGGAGGCAGAAAAGGGCCAAGGTGTTCCGAACTCTTCTTGTCGAAACCGTGGTCGATTAGCTGCAATGGTTCCCGCTTTGCGCAATCCGAGACTCCACCGCCCACCTATCCGGCTCCCGCGTGACAGCTTGCTGGAGTCGCTGCGGCCCTGCGGCCAATTTTTTGAGTCTTGGCCTCTGTCCCCCTCCCCGCCGGATATGCTTTTGCCCCAGATCTTGGGTTTCGCGCACGACTCGCGGTGGGAAGACTTGTGTCCAGTGACGAAGTCTTCCGGCCCCTATGGTCCCCCTTTTTTTTAATCGTAATTTAGAGTATCGGTACACTTTTAGCACGCATTCGAACGGAGTCCACGATGCTCTGCCTCTGCATTCGTAAGGGACCCCAGGTGCTGGTAACCGAGGCTCACGGCGGACGCGGCTCTCCCCAATCAAAGTAGGCGCGCGTACGCAGGCGCAGGCGCAGCAGGACAGCCAGCCAGCATTCGAGAGCAGAAAAAACGTAGAGATGTAGAGTAGGTCGGCTGCCCGCGCTTGATTCAGCCTCCTTTTGTGGCTGTGTTTTTTTCCCCCTTTGCTGCGACGAACATGGGAAACGTAAGGTTATCAAAGAAAAACGCAGGCGCCTTACGGGCTGGCAGGTAGACTACGGGGGGGGAACTATTACAATGAATGTGGGATTTTACAATGGTCGTTTACATTGCATTCTCATTGCAGAGCGAAGCGGAGCTAAGATGACGACGCCACGATCACGGCACGGCATCATGCCAAGGTTTGCAGCCGTATGCGAAGTTGCGAAGAGGAAAAAGTGAAAATAGGCTTTTTTGCTTTCCGGGTATGCGGCGCTTGCGTTTGGCCAAGCCTTGTGCTTTTTGTTGCGTATGACATATGTTCGGCAGGCTGTCTTGCAGGGCTGGGCGGTATCATGTCTTTCAGCCGCTTTTGAGGGGTCAGGCTGCGAGGCTTTGTTGGTTGTGTGTGTAGGCTGACTTTGATATTTGGCCAAGGCTGTCTTCTGGGGAAATCGAGGGTGGGAGCCTGAGATGGACTTGATGCATGACACATGGCAGCCAAGGTATTTTTTTTCGTTTGCTTCGTTGCTTCATTATTTTCGATGCCGTCATAGGTGATCTCGTGATATGTGTGAAATTTTGTGAGGTAACCGGTTGGTGATGCAGGCAGGCAGGCAGGCAACGAGGCCGATTTAGGTCCGAGGCCAGCTAGCTATCTACCCATTCCGTTGAAGAGCAAGGGGAGCAAGAGGAGCACGGGAGAGTACGGGTAAGCATGTGAATCATCGTCGTTTTGAGGCCTCGTGGTGTTTTCTGCCTGGTTTTGCCATCCTTGAGAAGGTGACAGGCGAGATAGCTACTTGGATTGTTTTGTCCTCGCTTAGAGTCGGGAGGAAGAAGGGTGTGGAGGGACGAAAGGATTTGTGTTCGTTTCTGTGTAAGTCATGCTTGAGTGAAGAATTTTCTTCGGGTGTCATGGGGAAGGTGTGATGACTTTTGATGTAAGCTTTCTCTTCCGGTGCGTTGCTGAGGTTGGCTCGGGTTGGGCTGGGTCGATGTTAGAAGAGTTGATGACTCGATGACGATGTTATGTGCGAGGTTTAGGCAGAATTTGATGTGTTGCTTTCGTTGATTTCCTGCTGGGGGCGGATAGATTTACTTGGCGAGACCATTTACTTGAGACTTTTGTTTCGAGGAACCGTATCCACGTACTCGCGTCTTCTCGCTCTCGGTGCGCAAATGTAGGCCATGATTCTGGGGAGGCTAATATCATCGCCATATTGATCCTGAGATTTCTTGTAGAGGATATGTCAGCTGTATTTCGCTGCCCTGTGAACGTGTTCAAGTTCACAAAAGAACGAACAGTAACGTTCTCCGATTCGCAGTCCTAACGAAGGGATATTTGATGTATAAATTCATTATTAGAGAAACCAGATCTTCAATTCCGGCAGCATGACATGCGTGGTGACATCGAGGCCAACACCCCATGGGTCGGCTGATCTCATCTGTTCCTAAGGTAAAGGATACCTCATACGCTGACATTCTTTCTACAACCCTTGAGCGAGGCAGCGACAGGCGATTATCTAGTTTGCTATGATACTCAACCCTCTCGCTTTATTGTGCGTAGAATACGCAAGAGGTGAGAGATACTGGGAACGTCGTGTGTTGAGTGGATTCTATGGTGATTCGATGGTCTGCATGTTGTCGTTTTGATAATATATCATAGTAACAAAGCACACATAGCTCATCTCCCTCCCATACCTGCACATTTGGTACGACACTAGTGGCATGTTGTTTTGGTAAACCATGAACCTGTGACAAAAGCTTTTTATACAGGGCACTTACTCATACTGTTTACGCTATGTCCTGACATCTACCTTGTTCTTGCATAAAGCTGTGAAGTCGCTTTTTGACGACGGAAAGAGCGAGCAAACTGGCCAGGCGAGAGGAGGCAAGATGATTAAGCTAAAGACTCTCCAGCGGTGGTCCAATGACACTAGTTGCGAGAAGGCAGTCAGCCATTCGGCTTCACGCGTTGAACATGATGCTGTAGCTGGGCGCAATTGTACTTCCTGGTCTATGCAAGTGATATATGCTCGAGTTAGTGGATAGTAGAAGATGTCAAGGATAAGAGGGCTTCGAGACAGGGCACTCCCCATCGCGGTTAGATCGTCTGGAATAAGACTACTGCGATGGAGATGTAAACATGATGAGGAGTGAAGGTCGCCTGTTTTCAGCAAGAATGAGATATCGAATGAATTGAGGACACGCTGAATCGTTTTGCATTGAGTGTTGACATCGTTGTTGCCAGAAGAGACCTTCGACAGTTGTTACGCAGGGGAACACGTCGTAGGCAGGGCGTAGTAACAGCAATTACCAGCTTTCTAGGCTCTCCTCGAACTTGCGACGTCTAAACATTGTCTGTCTATCAAGGAACCGACCGAGAGATGAGATAAAAGCCGCCCCTACCCTTTACCTAGTTTATTTTCACCACTAGTGAAGATGACATCTTAGATGAAGCTGTATGAGTGTTTTGGGGAAAAGTAAAGGAATCAGGTAAGGATCGATCGAAATATCTCTCTCAAGAAATTACAACTAAGACAAGAGCAGCATCAAGCTTATACTCGTAGTAGGCACCAAGTGCTTATTCTCCTGGTAATAAACGGGAAGAAGCACCCCTTGGCGGCGGACAGCCTATAGAGGCGTGTGTGGTTCACGGAGAGCTGTGAGAGGCCATACTTGGGAAGAGGACGAAAAGGCTTGTCCGGTACCCCGAATGCGCTTCTGCTGTCAAAGCATGGAACTGAACCCCTCCAACCTGGCAGAGTATAATCATACGATAGGAGGCCTTTATATATAATATATATATATATAAAAGAGAGAAGGCGCTGGTCGGCCCACTCTCCCAGCACGATTCCCCCAAGAAGTAATAGATAAACGAACGAAGATCTATCTAATACCGTATTATTTCAAGTTCGATATTTGTCGCCAGCGTTGGGAAATGTCTTCCGCTCGACGTTAGTGCGATCCGACGACTACACGTAGATGGCCTCCAATGTAGCAAAGGGGACGCTGCAACGTAAACCTGGAGGCTCTTCAAAGACATGCGGGATGATTCTGCTTCCAATCGAACGAAGAACTGGCGCCCCATTGTGCTCATAATTCAACCAAGAAGCTATAAGATAGGATACGATTCTCTACAGTCGGTATGGACCCTGGCGCTCCTTGGCTTGCAACGTCTGCCTTCGACGAGATACCGCGAACTTACCACAAGACGACGCGAAAGCTCACTCACGTATCTACACGCGATCATCCCACTTCCACCCTCGACGTCCAGACGACGCGTTGGGCGGATACCTGCATACAAGACTCCCCCAACAACTTTCATCAAGCGGTCCAGGAAGGGGGGCCGAGCATTGTGCTAGAGTTCATACAGAGAATCTGAGCCGGATGGTGTTCGTTGGCGTGGTATCAGAAACATGTCCGTCTAGAGCGCCGGCATCGTGGGGTCCCAGGCCCGAAGGTCTTCTCCGCTTGAAATTGCTCACATGGGCCCTTGTTCAAGACACCGTTGTGAGAAATATCTGCGAAGCTTGGCTAGCAACAGCAGAGACTACTACTCAGATCGCCGGCATGGCGCGTTCGCAGCATCCCCTAAATCGAGCCTGTCATGTGGGGAAAACAAATCATACGATTGATCAGTTACAATGAGCGTGGTGATCCAGTCTTGATTCCATGTTGATAACTACTCTGTACAAACAGCAAGAGACCTCTCCGTGAGAGGCTTGGTAGACTTTTTCTTAGTTGCACTTTAAAAGCAGCTTCATTTCTTCCCTTTTGCGTGACCGCTTCACGTGTGCGTCACCCACGTCCAAATTTTGCAATTTCCCGAAACCAGAACCAAGAAAATACACCAGCAGATTACTCTGCCAAACTGTGGCATGACGCGCTTAAGAGGCCATGTAGGTGCTGGCATCGATACCCTCCTTGGGGAACTCACTGAAAAAGGTGTTAGATACTTGAAAAGATAAGCCAGAGTTTTGAGGAAAACTTACGGAAGAGCAACCTCGAAGCGCTTCTCAATGGACTTGAGAACCTCCTGGTCCTGGTCAGTGCTCACGAAGGAGATGGCAAGACCCTTGGTACCGAAACGACCGGCACGACCGACTCTGTGCAGGTACGAATCGGCATCGGCGGGCAGATCGTAGTTGATGGCCAGGTTGATACGCTCGATATCAATACCTCTGCCGAAGACGTCGGTAGCAACGCAGATACGCTTGTTAAACTCCTTGAACTCCTTGTAACGGCGGATACGCTCCTCCTGGCTGACGCCGGAGTGGACGGCGATGGAGGGGAAGTTGCACTCTCTCAGCAACTTGTCCAGCTCGGTCGCACGCAGGGTGCTCTTGACGAAGATGATGACCTGGTTGAACTGAAGGTCGTCCAGGAGTTCGTTGAGCTTGCGGTTCTTCTCGCGCTCCTCGAGCTTGATGTAGTATTGCTGAAGACCGTGCAGGGTGAGCTTGGTGTCCTCGTCGACGTAGTGCTCGGTAGGGTTCTGCATGAACTTTCTGCAGATGGGCTTGATGTCATCGGACAAGGTGGCTGAGAACATCATAACCTGCTTCTGGGTAGGGGTAGCGCGGAAGATCTCCTGGACGTCACGGCGCATGTCTGGTTGATGTTAGAGGTTTGGTCGGCAGCGGGTGTGAGGCCGTTACTCACCGATCTGATCGAGCATCTTGTCGCACTCATCGAGGACGAAAATGCGGACGCTGCCGAGGCGGAGAACCTTGTCGCGGACCAACGCGTTAAGTCGGCCAGGGGTGCCCACGATGACATGGGGGCAGGTCTCCTTGTTCTTGATCGTCTCGACATCCTTCTGGATGGGGGTACCGCCGTAGAAGACACCAGTCTTGATATCGGGCATGTACTTGCTGAAACGGTTGTACTCGTTGCGAATCTGGAAGGCAAGCTCACGAGTGTGGCACATAACCAACACGGAGACCTCGCCCTGAACGGGCTCAACTTGTTGCAGGGTGGTCAGGACGAAGACGGCCGTCTTTCCGAGACCAGACTTGGCCTGGCAGATGATATCTCCACCGAGGAGAGCCTGAGGGATACAGGTTTGTTGGACTGTTGGATCGCGCCGAAGTTAGATATGTGTTCCAAGAGCAGAAGAACGACGTAGAGGGCGTGCAAAGGGCCCGTCCATCTGCGCAAAGAAGCCATTTTGTCGAGTTGGTCTCCTCCTCCACTACGACAATACGCCAATCAATCACTCAAGATGATGGCCGGGACAGAGCACGAATCGCGAGCGTCGGCGTCGCGCGCGCCCCGTGTCGCTCGCGACTGTGATACAAAAGAAGCCAGACCGCCGAGAGGCAAAGCTCTAGCAGCGACCGACCGACTGAAGTGCACTCGGGAACACCGCAGTGTTCGCGCAGCCTAGGGGTGCTATCACGCTTCCCCCGAAACGGCCGCTTGTATAAATCCACCTGTCACCGGTGGATTCGCGAGCAGTGCCCGTACAAAAACTTGGATGTCCAACTTGACTCCCGCTTCTCGGTACGTTTTCTTTTCTCTCTTCTTCGATGGCGACGTCGATGGCTTTTTGTTCTTTGTGTGGCTTGCGAGATGGACGGACGCTTTGCTGATGGGGGAGGGGATGATGTATGGGTTAGGGTATCATAAACTCAGGACTGACCCTCCGAAGGATGCTCGAAACCGCAATCGCCAATAGCGCGGAGAAGCTCGGGCTTCAAGAGGAAGTCGCGGAAACCGGTCGAGTGGATGCCGACATAGCTGCCCTTCTTGTCGACGGCATTACCGGCAGCAGCGTCAGCCTTCTTTCCGTTGGAGGCGGCCGCAGTCTCGTTGGTCTGGAGCTCCTCGTCGGAGTAGTCGATGAGATCCTCCTCAGCAGACATGTTGTCAATTGTCGGGGGTGTCGTTATTGAAGTGTCGGGGAAGAAATGGCCGTTGTACTGATGCGCAACGGCGAAAAAGGTCCCAAGGCTGCGGGTGCGAAGCTTGGGATGTCAGGAGAGGCGTAACGATCTGTGTCGCGTGAAGAGGGAAGGTCGAAAGACTACAAAAATCGCAGGAATGAAAAAACCCGCGTATTTGTGTCGAGAGAAGTGCACGACAGGCGGGGGGGATTAAAAGCGGATGGCAATTGGAGGTGCAGGGTTGGAGGCTGTGATGGAAGGAGGCGCCGTAGTTGATGTGGAAGTGGAAGATCCAAGGACGACGTGGAACTGGAGGCGAAAGGTGAGGCGGGCAGCGCAGGTCAAAAGCTTTCGCGTAAGGAAAGGCGGCTGAGTCTCACCCCCCCAAAAGGCGACGTCATGTGACCAGACCCGTTTTTGGGAAGACCGTGTCCATCTATGGTCCACACGGTGAACGCCCGCCTTTAACCTTAACCTTTGAACTGGAGAAACACTCTTGTTTGGCAGCCATACATACCTACCCACCACCCCTGCAGAAGTTTTTACAACAAGGTCCAACACTGACTCTCGTTGCAACGCAGACTTCAATGCCACTCAGGGTCTGAAACGTGGGACAAATCGCAGGGAGGACGAGCGAGAATGGCAAAGCCCAAGAGCGAAAGCCTGCCAAACCGGCACGCATACAAGCGGGTATCCTACCTGCATCAGGCCGCCTCGTACCTGGCGACTGTGCAGATCCCGGACGCCGGCTCACCTTCAAACTCATCATCACGGTCTCAAGAAGACGCGCAGCTCGCCAGGAACGATAACTCGCGCTCAAAAAATGAGAAAGTTGCTCGTCGATTTGTCTCTGATATCCGAGCCGTCTGTCTCAAGGCTCAAATTCGCCCGAGCCCGTCAGTCAAGCAGATGATGTGCAAGTACTGTGACTCACTGCTCATCGAGGGAAAGTCTTGCACTACGACGGTTGAGAATCTGAGCAAGGGTGGGAAGAAGCCTTGGGCCGATGTTATGGTCACAAAGTGCAAGACCTGCGACAACGTCAAGCGGTTTCCTGTCAACGCGCCCCGTCAGAAACGACGACCGTTCAGGGAACCCAAGACTGGTGAAGGGCAGGACGCAATGGCTGAGGACACGACGGCTGAAGCCTCTGCTCAATCAACTGGAGGTGAATGAGAATTGGCTGCCCCTCACTTCAACGAAATTAAACACCACCAAGTGATATCTGAGTGGTAAGCCGTTGTCAGAAGGCTCCTAGATAGAGGAGACCAGAGCTATCTAAGAAGAAGCTATGTCGCTCGTAGAGAGGCCGAAAATCTGGCACACTCTTACATCAGGTATGATCTCTATTGGGATAGAAGACATGGGAATGCCTAACAAGACTATTAGAATCATTCGCAAAGCGCGCAGCTTGTAGCTCGGCCCAACTACCAGATTAAAGACACTCCCAAAGGAAGTGGCAGCTAGATACCCTACCGCAAGCTTAGACTAAAAGCATAGAATAGGCTTGGTGCATGGCTATTTGTGATCTTTATTCCAGATCAGACGCTGCGATGAGTTCCGGAGGTGTTGAGACATGAGCACTCCTCAATGAGAGTAGACTCAGATGGTCACTTGGGTATGAGACTCCCTTGTGTACTATCCACATGTATTTGCCGATCGGGCAAATATTACCAGAGAGATGTTGATGCTCAAATGTCATAAAATTTTCGCTGCTACCGTTGTACCGAGATTACTTTTTTGCCAACACCTCTATGCCTTAGCATACCGCACGATGAATACCATCTTCCATCTTTCTAACTCCATCTTCGACTCCCTTGGCAGCGCCCCCCTTCTTGTGCTTCTCCTCATCGCCCTTGACACGCACCCGCCTGCGGCTGTGATGCTTCTTCAGAACCTGCAAATCGATCTCGTCATTCTCAATAAGTGTCTCCGTGACCTCGACAATGTCCGTCAACAACCGCTCAAGCAGATCAAATGTCATGGTCTCGCGAACAACGACGCGGAGGATCTCAATCTTTTCCTCATTGGGCGGGAGCGGGTAGTTGGGAATGATCCAACCCTTGGCGCGAAGCATGAGGGAGACGGTCTCCTGCTTGATGTGTTCGTACTTGGCCTTGAACTCATCCGTCAGACGGAAAGAGACGACAGGCAGGCCGGCAACGTAGTCGGCCGAGGTCTCCCCCGGGGCAGCACTCTCGCCTCCGACGGCGGTGGCGGCCTGGTTCACAATCTTCTTCACAGCGCCACTTGCTTCCTTGTGAGGTGCACGGCGGTGGATGTCAGAGACGACGGTGTACCATCCCGTGGCCTCGAGGCTCTGAGCGAGGATACGGGCGTTGGAGAGACAATTCTCCATAATGGAGCGGTAGCCGTCGAAGCCTAGGTGGATAAGGTTGTAGTATTGCACGATAACCTGTGCACCTGGGCGGGAGAAGTTGAGAGTAAATGACTTTTCTGTACCTCCGAGGTAGTGAAGCTCGAAGATGAGGTCCTCTGGGAGGAAAGACTGGTCGCGCCAGATAATCCAGCCGAGGCCGGCGTAGACAAGGCCGTACTTGTGGCCTGAGACGTTGATTGACTTGACGCGAGGGAGCTCAAAGTTCCTGCGGGCTGTAAGTGTATGATCAGAAGAGAACAAGTCGATATGACTTACCACTTGGAACCGCCGACCCCTGCGTGGGTGAAAGGGGCGATGAAGCCACCAGAAGCGGCATCGACGTGAATGGGAATGTCGATACCAGTCTCTTCCTGGTACTTGTCGAGAATCTGCGAAATCTCCTCAACGGGCTCGTAGTGCCCCGTGTATGTGCTTCCGAGAATGACAAAGACACCGATGGTGTTCTCATCGACATTTTCTCTCACAAGAGCCGGGTCTAGACGGTAGTGGCTCTTCTTGCTGACGGGCAAGATGCGGGCCTCGACGTCAAAGTAACGGGCAAACTTCTCCAAGGCGACCTGCGCGTTGGAGCCCATGAGAATGTTGGGCTTGGAGGTGTCCTTGCCCTGTTCCTTGCGTTTCAGTTGCCATCTACGCTTCATGGCGAGACCGCCGAGATGGATGGCCTCGGAGGAACCCGTGGTTGCGGAGCCGATGGCTTTCTCACCGGGCTGGACACCCCACAGGTGGGAAATGATACTGATGCAGCGCTGGTGCATCTCCATCATGGCAGGGTACTCATCTGCGTCTGAGAGGTTCTTGGAGAGGTTCTCCTGCATGAGCTGGGTGGCATTAGGTTCCATCCATGTTCCCACGAAACTAGGTTGGTATGCTGTTAGTGAGAGGATCCTAATTGGAAATGTCGCGAATGCTCACCTGGCCAGGTTAAGGTTGGGTTTGCCGTCGAGGTCCAGCTCATCCCTAATCATCTGAAAGACGGTGTCTCCTGGGGCGCCCTCATCAGGGATCTTGTACTTGGGAATGTTGGTTTGACTGGTGTATCGGCTGTCATAGGGTTGGATGTGTGATGAAGTGCCATGGCTGGAGGCATTGGCATTACCCGGAGCTGTGATGTGAGTTGCCTGGAGGCGTTGGACAATGTCCTCTGGGTTGACCTGCGTAAAGTGTCAATTCCAATGCAACATCTTCAATGACGCATCAATCATCGACGGAGGATGCTTGTTGAGACCTACGTGACTTGCAAGAGGCATATTGACGTGTGAATGAGCAACTGTGGTTATGGTATCAAGAGTGTAGATGAAAATCGGGCATGCACCAGAAGAGAAAATGCGATGGATTGATGTTGAGATCAAGATTGCCAAATCTGGGGGATCACCGCTTGAGGCTTAAATACAACAGCAGATCACGAAGGATGCTGGGCATTGGAGGCAGCTAAGGTAGCCGTCAAGCCGATGATGAGGGATGAATGACGACATACGGTAGACCGAGCGGAGCACGGGAGTTTCCTTGTGGACAAGTTTTGTCGGAAATAGTAGCTCCAAGTGCATGAAAGACACGCCTCGTAGCCCCAGATCACGGGCCGAGGAGGGGAGGGAATCGCGATGGGCTAGACAGGAATGATGTCTCTGGCCTCTTAGTGCGAGGACCTCCAGGGTTCTCTGCCAAGGCCATGGCCAACAGCAGTCGATGGTGCAGCATCAGCTCGTCAACTTTTGCTGGGGACGTGGAGCAGGTTCAGTGAATGGGGGAGAATTGGACTGGAGCAGCTCATTGCCCCATAGGTACGGTCCAATGCCGAGTTTGCCGGTGGATTCCTCTTTCATCGAGTACATACGTAGGTACGATGACTTGCGTGTCGCGCCAGTGCAGCTGAGAATTGACTTTTTTACTGAACGAGTAGCTGAGGAGAAGGAGTTTCTGTTACGTGCTATGACATGGCTGACATGTTTGGTGAGGTAACTTGTAAAATGCAGTCAGGTTGGCAGGGAAGGAACCATTGGATCGCAGATGCTCAGACGGTCTGGCCCTACAGAGTGGATGGGTGACGGCATTTAACATTGGGAAGCTGCGACTTGGGGCCCGGACCTGAACAGCCGGGGAGGCTCCTTCCGCTCTTCCTTCCACTGCTCCAGGAGAAGTTCAGTGACAGCTCGGGTGGGCCCCGTTCCCGTCTTGGCACTGCACTCTCGCAGCAGGTACGCCGGCAGACGGCAGGAACCCAAAAATCGCCGTGGAATCCGGAGGTGATCGTTCTTGCCCGGAATCTTTCTTACCTTACCCACCTCATGTCAAGCTATCATTCTGTTCTTCCTCTTCTTCTTGCTCCTTGCTCAATGCTGTCTACCTTAATCTTCTGTCTGAGTGAGGCCACCCCCTAACAAACTGGAGTCTTCTTCGACGACAAATCTCCGTAGTCTACAATGGCTATGAACCACCACAATGCCGATAATCTTTAGGCCACGTCTCCGAGAATTAACGCTTCAAGAGTTGATTCGAAAGGAAGCTGATAGTTTGCAGTGCAAGATCATATTATTCAACAAATCGTACATCCTCTCAACGATGCCCGACTGCTTGATCCTGGTCATTATCTTCAATGTGTTAGAGCCAGGACAACAACGCCTACCGCTTCGATCATGGTGTTTTCAAATCTCTGAATATTGACTACGAGAGCTTGTCACCTCTTCTGATCGACCAGAGTCTTCAAGAAGATCCAATACCACCATATCCCGGAGGATCGGTAGTCCAAAGAATGGCAAACGAGAGACGATGCAAGTCTAGCGGAGAACCCACCGAGGTCCACGGATACTTCCATGGACCATCGATAACCGACGCTTCAAATCCAGGGGTTCACGAGCTAAGACTACATTCTGTGGATCGTCCAACAACGCGTGTTTGATAAACCTTAAAAGAGTATCATGTCCCGTTGAACATTCATCGACCGACGACAGCGGGAGAAGACACCATCGGAAATAAGATTAGATTGTCAGCACTGACGGGGGGTTTCCCAGTCTCCAGTCACATTGGTTCATTCACCAACCAGAGATAAGCCAGGCTCTCCCAGAAAGCCCAGCTTTTCTTGGTCGAAAACCACGACTGGTGATTGGCCGATACGGCTCAATTCGACCAAAGTCCCGTTGCAGTGACTCGCCAAGTCTCGCGCAATGGCCGCGGCTGGGCCGAATGGACGGCTACAGTGGCATTCTAGCATTGGCACGCTGGCAGCTGTCGCTTTCATCCAGACTGAGAGCCCAGGACCCTTGGGACAAGCGGCCTGACACTTGGACAATCTTCGAACTGGCCACGCGAATTGCGAGAACGATGGCAAGGCTAAACGTGCCAAAGTACGGACTCTCCAGATATCAGACGAAGTTGAATCGTGGCTGCTTGCAGTTGCCTCGCCAATTGTTCGTCTCCCCAATTTTGCTCCTGGACGATCAGCAGCATGCACCAACTCCCGGATCGGTGGCAGGGGCACATCGGCAACTTTGTGATCTGCTGATCCCCAAGTTTCGCGGACAAAGGGTGGGAGGCAGAGCAGCTCGAAATGGGAAGAAGCCGGACAGCCAGATTCCTTTCGTCTTTCCAGCCAGCCAGACCAGCAGGCATCGAGCCACCGAGGCGTCGACTCTGGACCAACAGAGAGTCAGCTTTAGGTGTCCCCCGGCTCCGAGTTGTACTAGAGCTTGAGAGGTGTGGATCAGAATTGTCGCCCATTGTCCTTCCAATGTCACCATGTCCCCGGCGAACCATTCTTCTTTTCCCCTCGCCTCCTCCACAGCCCCTCGGATGTCGCTACCCCAATTTAGGAAGGTCGACAAACGGCCGCTGAGCCTGCGGGCTGTCGCGTCGCCGCTGCATTTGGTGTCGTGATAGCACGCTAGAGGACCGATTTCTTTCTAGTCCCCTTGGGCCCCCCGTCCCTTCCAGCGCCGCAAGTCGCCGACAAGGCCCCAAAGCAGAACCCACACACACATACACGGGACGATATTGGGGGGATAGATACGGGATAGTGAGGGTAGAGAGTGAGTCGGCTCATGGGTATTGCTGGGCGCGCCATTCTCTCGACTCTGCGAATCTTAACCCAAAAAAACACACAACTGGCACACACTCTCGACTCTGCAGAATCCCTAGGGACTACTTCACGAGTTCACAGAGGCCCAAAGCCATCTTACCTCTTGCTGGTGTTCAATCTGAACATCTTCGGGAAGTGGGACTTTGACTCGTCTGGCGGGCTGACTCTACCTTGTCACATTGTCTTGGTGTCTTGTTAGCCTGCAGACTGCCGACCGGCACCACCTTCGCCGCCGCCGCCGCCGCCATCTTTTCGCTTGATTTGATTGAAAAAGCCCTTGGCGCCCGCTGTCCCCAGTCTCCCCCGTTGTGGCCTTGGGGCCTTCTTTTCGTCCTCTTGCTTATCTCGTCGGTCGCTCTCCAACCCATCCGCAATCGGCGTACCTAAACCCTCACCTTTCAATCTACTCCGTCGACAGTAGAGTGAAGGAGAGAGGCACAGTCGTCACGATGCCGTCTATTTTTCGCAAACGTGGCGAGCCCGAGGAGATCACGCCCTACCCCGCCCTCGAAGATGATGCCGAGGCCACGGGCATCGAGCCGCTGAAGGCTCTGGCTCAATTCGAGAAGGCACACAAGCTCGATCCGAATATGCCAATTGATGAGCTCAACGATGTCGATACCGCGCTTGCTACCGGAAACGCCGAGAAGGGTCTCGAAATTGAACAGGCTCTTATGGAGGACAACTCGCCCTATCCAGAGGTACGTCGCGAAACTCCGCCCAGGCCTTGAGAGCCTTGTATCGCGGTGGGACGGACAGATAGAGGAAAAAAGGCCATATCAGAAACTCGTTCAAAGTCGCTAACATGATGCGCTGCCGCAAAAAAGGTTCGCGCTGTAGTACGGAATTACGATGTCGATTTGCCAGCAAATACGATTCGCGCATGGGTCATCGGCATGCTTCTCTGCACGGTTGGCTCCGGTGTCAACATGCTCTTCTCACTCCGCAACCCCAGCGTTACCATCACCACCTATGTCGTCCAACTTATCGCCTATCCCATTGGCCTGGGTTGGGATTTAGTCATGCCCGACAAGGAGCAGAATGTCTTTGGTGTCAAGTTCAACCTTAAACCCGGCCGTTTCAACTACAAGGAGCATGTTATCATTGTAGCCATGTCTAATGTGAGTTCGGACGATTTTTTATCAGGAGCGGGGCGCTGTCAATACTCCAGATTGGGGGATAGCAGCAGCCAAGATTTCGAGTCGCGGCAAAAGAGGCTTCTCAGAGAAAACAAGATCAACGGCAGAACTGACTATGATTACTAGGCTGCCTATGGAGGTGGTGTCTTGTACGCGACCGATGTCTTGCTTGCACAGCAGCTTTTCTACAAGCAGCACTTTGGCTGGGCTTTCCAGTTGCTCTTTGGCATTACTACCCTTTGTACTGGATACGGTCTGGCCGGTCTGGCCCGACGCTTCCTTGTGTGGCCCTCTGCCATGATCTGGCCCTCGAACCTGGTTAACTGTGCTCTCTTCTACACCCTCCACGATCACTCCGGCTCAGACCCGACCAAGACCAACGGCTGGAAAATTGGCCGCTACCGCTGGTTCCTCATCGTCAGCAGCGGCGCTTTCATCTGGTACTGGTTCCCCGGTTGGATTTTCCAAGGACTTTCGTATTTTACTTGGATCTGTTGGATTGCGCCCAAGAACGAGATCGTCAACAAGGTCTTTGGTGGCCTTTCAGGTTATGGACTCATGCCCATCTCATTTGACTGGACCGTCATCTCAGGTTACCTCACGTCGCCGCTGATCCCGCCTTTCCACGCCATCGCCAATGTGATTGCGGGTATCATCATCTTCTTCGTTATCGTCTCTTCTGGCATCCACTTTTCCGGAACCTGGTACTCCGACTACTTCCCCGTACAGAGCTCAGAATCTTTCGACAATACCGGCGCCGTCTATAACGTTACCCGAATCCTCGATGCCAACTTGCAATTCAACGAGACCGCCTACAACGACTACTCTCCTCTCTACCTACCGACTCAATTCGCTCTGGCCTATGCTCTGTCGTTCGCCGCCGTAGCTGCCGTTGTCGTCCACGTTGTTCTGTACCACGGCACCGAAATTTGGGGTCAGTTCAAGCTGGCACGCCATCAAGAGGACGACGTGCACATGCGTTTGATGAAGAAGTATCGTGACGCTGAGGACTGGTGGTATCTGGGTACGTTTTGTCGATGGTATTCTCCTTTGACCTAGGCTAACAATCATTTTCAGCACTCTTCGTCGTCATGGTTGCCATCTCGTTTGGTGTTGTTGCCGGGTGGCCAACTGGGTTCCCTGCGTGGGCCTATGTTGTGTGCATTCTGATTCCCGTTTTCTGGCTCATTCCTATCGGCATCGTGCAGGCCATCACCAATATCCAGCTCGGCCTCAACGTTTTGACCGAGTTCATCATCGGTTACATGGTGCCGGGCCGACCCCTCGCGATGATGATGTTTAAGAACTACGGCTACATCTGCATGTCGCAAGCGCTGTACTTTGCGCAGGATCTCAAGCTCGGTCACTACATGAAGGTCCCCCCTCGTACCATGTTCGCCTCCCAGCTTGTCGCGTCGCTCTGGTCAGCCATCGTTCAGATTGCTGTCATGAACTGGGCCCTGGGCACCATCCCCGACGTCTGCCAGCCCGACCAGCCCAACAGCTACACCTGCCCCGGTGGTCGTGTCTTCTTCACCGCATCAATCATCTGGGGTGCGATCGGCCCCGCCCGCATCTTTTCCGGCCAAGCTCTGTACGCCTCTCTTCAGTGGTTCTGGCTCGTTGGCGCCATCACACCAGTTATTACTTGGTTCCTTGCCCGGAAGTGGCCCAAGAGCATCTGGCGCTACGTCAACACCCCCCTCCTCTACGGAGGTTCCGGCTGGCTCCCCCCTGCCAGTGTCTACATCTACCTCTGCTGGGCGCTCGTCGGCACCATCTTCAACTTCTTCATCAAGCGTCGCTACACCGGCTGGTGGTTGCAATACAACTACATTACCTCGGCGGCTCTCGATTGTGGCCTCATTGTGGCCACGCTCATCATCTTCTTCACGCTGTACCTCACATCCGCCAGGCCACCACAATGGTGGGGTAATGTCGACGTATTTCAAACGATGGACTGGAAGGGAACGGCAATCAGGACGCAAGTGGCACCTGGCGAGATTATTGGCCCCAGTCGCTGGCCTTGAGAGTTTAACGAGGATGTGAAAATTTGAGAAGCGTATTAATGATGTTCAGTTGGACAAGGATATAGGAGTTTGGTGGCTTCCTGAACGTATGTATCACGGTCTCACGGCCCTTGGGGAGGAGTATTTGGGTACTGCTATTATTTCACGGCTCTGATACGAGGATTGTCTGTACGGCTGATGATACCTCAGTGCGAATTCACTTGCCCGTCTATTTATAAGTACGAATCAACGATGGTATTTACGTTGCAGCTCAGTTTCCAGTTGTGTATGGTCTTGTGAAGAGTGCCGCTTTCTGCCAAGTAATGATACCTTACTTGCTCACGGTATCTTTTCGAGTGTACAACGCGGCTTCCCAATGGAAATTGATGGCAGCGACAGACGTGCAAGCTGCCTCGATTGGAGGCTCGCCTTCCTCAACTCGGCACTCGACGCTATTGGGGCAGGTTCTCGGTGCATTTGACTTTCTACAAAGGAGCATCATATTGAGAAGCTCACTCACCTCTAATTCTCTTACCTGGGTACATTAGTCGCAAAGACCTCACCTGCTTCGAGCTTTGAGCTTCCAGATCCATCGTACACCCTTCTCGACATCCGACATTCCGCCTGGCTTGAAGCAACGAAACATCACATCACTACGAGTACATGTACCTACTAGAATACCCCCGAAAGTTCGCTGATGAATACAATGGTCGGACCCAGCCCTGCCTCTTGGAACGAACCACCAATCGCTCCACTCCTTTCCCCCTACCGCGAAGATAAGAGCAAGAGACTACATAGCCGCGAGGGCAGCCGCGGCAGCGGCAAAAGCCAGTCCTTCTTGGCGTCCTTGGAAAGGCTGAATTCTCAATCCAACTGGAGCATGGGATCGATGAAAAAGAAGCAGGCCATGCTCGTGTCGCGGATGACGCCGTCTCGGGTGACACGGAGGTCGAGGGCATCGACCGAGTCCCGGGGGCCCTTTTCGTCCAAAGAGGGCCTCGATGTCGACGACATTGACGATGTGGAGGACCTGGAGCTGCCGCCGAATATCTTGACGGATAATTGGGATTCTTCGGCACCTTCTTCTGGTTCGGAACAGCGTCCACGGCGTCGTGGCAGCAAGAAGCCGAAGAAGAGGGCGGCGAAGAAGGAGCAGAAGAAGAGAGGGTTTCGGGCTAGGCTTCGACGACTCCTCGGTCGGGATAAGAAGAAGAGCAAGGGTGGTCACAAGTCGCCATATAGCCACAGGCAGACAAGACAAAACATGCAGAGCGAGGACTCGGGGCTGTCTGATCAGCAAGATGCCACGGCAGAGCGAAATCCTCAACCAACCAAGGCTGGCCTATCTCCATCGATAGAGAGTACGCCTCGATCCAGCTGCCGCAACATTCTCAGGTACGTACAAGCAACGTTGATATCGCTGGATAGGACTTCGGAGCTAGTACACTAATAGGGACCACCAGAGACGCTTTCGCCCAACATCGAGCTGAGGCAAAGGAGGACCCGACCGATAGACCGAAGGAAGCTGTCAAGCCCATGGATGATGGACAGACGATGAAGCAGTGAGCTACTGCCAGTCAACGGCTCAACATGCCTTGATAACGGAGATTGGCAAATAGCAGCACAAAGCTGTTGGGGTCCTTTGTGGCAATGCCCTTCAAGAACATCCCAAGACCTATCAGCCTGCTTCTGGTGTGGATGAATGGCGTAAGTTTGTACATCTTCGTATAGATGGTTTCTTTTGGTGGACCTCATTCCGATCCTAATACACTTCCTCTTCCTACGAATACTAAGCTGCTACCTTTGACCGATGCTACTTGATAGATTCAGGGTGTTCAGAAGAATGCTCGACCATCTATCGCAGCCGAACCAGTACTGGAACACACGGCAAGATGGCGCCAGGAAATCTGTCTCGGAATTTGAGACACTAAGCATCGATATTTCGGTTCGATGTTGCCTCGGATTAAGGCCGTAGTGGAAGTTACCGCCACCTCGGTTTATCGCCTGGACTATATCAGATCTCATCGCTGATGAACGCATTTCCAAAGCACAGGAGAATGATCTCGACGACTCACTCCCGTGACGGAATGAGACAACATTTCCTGGTGGCGCTGTGCCTGACTAGCGAGCCCTGACTCCCGAGGGCTCTTTATAAGTGCTTATCGCCCTTCCCATGTCTAACAAGCGAATCCTTCTGAATCATTGGGGGCGAGCTTCATCCCTCATCATCACGATCATCGCAGGGGAACGAAGAACGTCTTACTTGAGCCTCTTGAATGGAACTTACCAAGGGAACGTCATGCTTGCGGAGCGGGTCCCGATCCAATCCCAGCCGTGCCCCATTTGACCACCCAGCCGGGTTCATCTCCGTGGTCTCCCCGAGATTTGCGAATGATCAAGCAAGCTTGACAGGTTTGACAGCGTCTGTGTTGCATGTCTCTTTCAGGTCCATTGTCTTTCGGAACTTTGTGTCAGTCCAGACAATGGGGAGGAGGGGTCTGGGGGCCAGGGGCCCGGGGAGACATGCCAATGCAGACTTACCTCCCTTGCTCAACAAATACCAGTGAGAGGGGGGCTTCGTACGGATACGTTGTCTCACTCTCTTTCCCAGGCACAAGAAGACAACAACAGTGCATTTGCATTTCGTCAGGGCGGGAATAAGGAAAGGGGAGAGGACGAGAGGGCGGAGAGGAAAAAGCAAAAAACAACAACAATGAGGAACACGTCCCCTGTCCATATCCCTTTTTTTTCTGACGAACTCTTAGTGACACCAAGGAAAAGCCTCCTGAGACAGGCTGAGTCAGTGACTGGCAAACAAAATACAAGAAAGTCTGGGACAAATTTCGCAACCATGGTCTCTTTTGGAGCAAGCAGCAAGACAAGCAAGACGGGATTTGCGACTCTAGTGCTCTAGTTCTGGTATCTAGCTCGTATAAAGCAAAAGGGAAAGACGCATGGAGGTCAGAGATGTCGCTTGGCTCTGCGACTTTTGTCATTACACAAGAGACATACACACACGCAACCAAACTCAACTTCATATCCACACACTTCCATTCGTGATATTTGGTGGGGGATCAACGGTCGAAATCAACAATCAGTGACCATCAAATCAGCTTTCTTGACTTCAAGTCTACTACAACGAGAGTTATTATTGAATCCGTCTATCGCTGTTTACTCTGAGCAGAAATTTGAGGCCATTTCACTCAGACCATGTCATTCGTAAGAGAAAGTAGCAAACATACGAGACTTAACGAGACGATATCTGAGTGCCGGGGCCTTGCTCTTTTACGACCGCGGCCGCGCTGACGCACTCATTTTATCAATCTACTTTGAATCACTATACGAGAGGATACCGACTCCTCCAGACCGGGTCAACCCTTCACAAAAAAAGAGAAGCTCACTTTTCCATTGTCGGAAGGAAGCTGGAAGACACGATTCCAGTTGGCGCATACGAGCGCTTTCAATCGACTTGACCATTCGGGATCTGGAATCCCTCTTTTTCGGAAAGTCGCAAGCACAGGAGGCGAGGAGACCTCTCACGCGTCCACCAGGTTCATCAACGCGCCAAATCGACGAAAGAGTCACAAGAAATACGCGTAGCAAAGGACGTACGTTCGACGCGGCAAAGGGAAGAACAAGGAGAGAGGAACAGAATGGGCCGAAGCGGGTACGATACCACGGACCTGGGAGGATTCGCAAAGAAGAAGAAGCCGAGGTCTGCCGGCGGTGCTGGTGCGAGTTCTGGTTCTGGTGCTACTGCTCAGGCGAGCCTCGCTGTTCAGAATGACGGCGGTGATTACGGGGCCTCGGCTCAGAGGGCGATGATGCAGCAGCAGATGCGGATGCAGATGGCGCAACAGCAGCAGCAGATGGGAGGATGGAGCTGCACGGGTTCGAGCTCTTCTGCTTCCGCATCGGCTTCGAGTAAGAATCGGGCTGGGGGCGGCGGTGATGGAGGGGCTGCGGCTAAGAAGTAGAGGTAGTATGAAGTAAGGGTGGCATGGGCTTTATTAAGAGGGTCTATGAGACCTGGGCTGTCGGCCTGCTCGGTAGTATGTTCGCATTCACTTGATTCTTTTCGTCTATCATCTGGGACGTTTAAAACTGACGATATTTTGCTGGGTTAGAAATTTTGACTGGTGTCGAGGAGTAGCCAGGGGCTACATGTTTGATGAGTCGACAGTTCGGGTGCGCGGTGTAAGTGAGAGAGAGAACAAAGCGGAATGAATCGAAGCGCTGAAGAGATTCAGCAGAAAACCACATGAGTTGATATCAGCTTTGGGCCTTGAGGGTGGTGGCCATGGTGCCTCCCCCTAGCCTCTCAGATGGATGGGAAAGAGTGTTTACGCCATCCGTCGGCCATCAACACGCATTCTACGGCTGACTAAAGGACGAGAAGCGAGAGACCAGCCCGATGTCCTTGAGGAGATGGATAGGGAAGCTTCGTTGGTTGGAGCATTGGCAGGCTCTACAGCAGCCGGACTGCGTCGCACCTATAGATGGGGCACAAGAACTCGAGGTATCGCAGTGCGTGGGCTATGGAACATCTGTCTTAGCGACTGAAGCGTATGGTTGAGGAATACTGCAAGGTGCAGAGTGATGATGTAGGAGTTTTGTACCCGATTATCAGATGAGTAGTAGTAAAGTTTGAAGTTCTGTTCTATATCCTATTTTGTGACACACATCGGTACATGCGTGCTTTCATAGCGACAAAAGTAATAAGAAACGCTAAATTGAGGAAAAGGGGTATCGATCCAGAGAAGGGAAGAAAGTAGCAAAACGTTAAAACAAGGCGTATCATCAAAGAAACCCAGCCATCATCATTCGATCATGGCCCGTGATATAGTCCGAACCGGGACATCCTTTAGCTATACTGAGGCGGGTGCTGAGTCGGCGCCGTCTGAGAAGGCGGCTGCGGCATGTAATACTCGGCCGCCGCGCCGGTGGGAGCCGGAGCAGCACCGGCGGCCGGGGGCGGAGCAGGTGACGAAGACCGGTAAGGGGGCGCGTAGCCCATGGGCTCGTACTTGCTGTCCGCGCCGTTGTGGTTGTTGTGGGTGCCGGCTCCGGCTCCGGCTCCGGCGTACCAAGAGTCTCGGTTGCCGGTGTCATCGGATCTCCTGCCCTCTTCGATCTTGGCGTACGTGCCGCCAGCGGAGCGCTTGGTTTCGTCGCCGTTGCCGCCGCCGCTGCCTCCTCCGGACTTTTCCCTGCGCCGGGAGATGAATTTTCGGTAGAGAGTAAAGGGGATCCAGAGGCCCGTGGAGACGAGGAGGGCGTGGCCGAGGACGTGGCCGATGCGGAATTTCTTTCCTTCCTTTTTGCGCTTGAGTTCTGTTCTCCGGTGTAAGTCATACTGTTCTTAAATACTCCTTCAATGAGACAAGCCTTACCTTTGACCGTGTAAAACGCGAGCGAGACTAGGAACAGAACAAACCACACAACCAGGACGATGATGAGGATCCGGACCCAGAGGGGAAGCGCACTGAAGCCGCCTCCTCCTCCACCTCCCCCGCCTCCGCCGGCGGCACCGACGCGGCCGCCGCCTTTGTACTTGTTCTTGCCGCTCTTTGATCCGGATGATTTTGAGGATTTGCTGCCACCGCTGGAGCCGCGGCTGCCGCTTGAGCCACCGCCTTTGGGGACGCGGGACTCGAGGATGAAGTCCATGTGTCTGTGTGCTTGGGTTGGGCTGTTGGTAGGTGTTTTGGTCTGTTGGTGTTGCTGTTGGGAGATGCTGGCGGCGCTTAGATCAATTGGTTCTCGTACTTCGTTGGAGGGTATTTGATTGGTTGTGAGAGACTCTGTTACACAAGATACTCGAATTGAGGGGAAGATATGATAGATTGATTGTTCGATGAAGCAAAGTCAGAATGGATCTAAGGCTGAAGACAGTGAGAGAGAGAGAGAGAGCAGCGGGCTGCCAAGTCTTTAAGTATCAGAGACACCGCAAGCGGCGCCCATCCGTCTTACTTGCGTCGACCGGCGGCCGGCGGTTTAGTCCCACCACCACGACGCACCCAGGCCACCGAACATTGGCCTTTGATCTGAGCCCTGCTAGTTACACCGTCACACACCGTACAGATACAGATAGTCTGGGGGTGAGGCAGGGGGTTGGATTTGTTGGTTGGGCGGCGGCCCCCCTCTCGTCATTTCTGACCTGCAATTATTTGACCTGTTCTAGAGAGAGGCAACGCAGCTGCGCAAGGCGCATATCGGTCAACCCCCCCCTGGGACTGGGAAAGGGGGGTTGTTGAACAGGAAAAAACAAGCTTAACTTGCCCAGCAGACGGCGACGATCACGTCTCTGCCACTCTGGCACGGTCTGGCTGGCTGGTGAGGAAGAGCGAGGAGACCGAGGTGACAAGGTGTGATTGAGGATTTTCTTAGTCTGGTCTTGGCAAAGGTTCAGCTGTAGATAGGTGATACCATTCGCCAATTTGCGCGCAAAAGGTACAACGGTATTCGTAGCGTGGTATAATCTCACCATGACAGCCCGCTAGGGGCTCTTCCTTGGCGCCGTCCTAGTCCGTGGTGGTAAAATCCTGTAGCCTGTAGGTACGAGATACTCCATAGGAGAGAGGAAAAGTCGAAGAAGTCGCGACTTTGATAGTTCCTCTTTCGGCATCGAGGTCACCACAGAATTGGGCGCAGCTCTCAGAGCTGTCAGGGGGCATCCATGGTGTATACTTGTAAGCGCTGTTGGAGGGATGACCCCTTCTGAACCTGGAGACTGACCAAGACCAAGACCAAGAACCCCAGTTGGCAGCATCAACAGTAGGGGACCTGGCGTAGCTTTCAATCAGCCTTACGGAGCGGCCATGTGCGGTCCTCCCTCCCCCTTCTGCTCTGGAGAACTGGAGCTCCATGGAGGCAACCGGAGGGCTGTGATTCCCGAGAGGCTCGTGACAGGAGGGACCAATGCTTCCCTCGGAGCTTATCGCACCTTTAGTACAGGGGCATAATCCCAGTGGAGTGGACCAAGGTACGGTCGTGCCAAAGTGCCATGTCCCCTGGAAGCTTATTTCTCCATGTGCTCGACTCGACTCCGCTCTCATAACAGTTGTATCCGTAGTCAGCGCCAATGCTCTTCCTCGTCCAGGAAACAATTTACGAACATGTTCACACCCTCTAGGCATCTATAATGTATTTCTTGGCAATGATGGCATCTACAATCTCACAGGCCTCTTGGGACTTTGGAGTATCCGTAGAGAGAAGGAGAGCGAGAGACGATCGAACTCGCAAGGCGACGAGAAGGCGGTCGCGACGTCATTTGAGTAACACTCATTGCAGATCGTCGCCCGACGCACGTTGAACTTTTTGGAGCTCGATCGGTCCAGACTTTAGGGGACCTTTCCTCCTCTCAAGTTCCTCCTCTGCTCCTCATCTGCGGCACAGCACCGATCGCCTGCTGCTGTGCACCATATGCCGTCATATCTGCATAGCACCACCAATCCGCAAAGAAGGTGATGGGTTGGTGAGGTTGGTTGATAGGTACTCTGCATTCTCTTGTCATCGAAGCCTTGGCAACTTGGCAGGGTCGATTCTTCATTGGTGTCTCGAGCTATCCTCGCAGACGTACTGCACGCTTCGGTCAGAGACGAAGATAAAACAAGCTTTATCGTCGAGGAACCTCTGCTTCGATTACGTAGGAAGGATCTGCTATGACGGAGTTTTACTTCTTCTCCTAGCTGGCCAGCTCTGAACTCTCATGCAACGGGTCTCCGCGGGCGGGCGGCGAAGCCCGGTGCAAAGTCCCCTCCGAAGTAAGCTGCCAATGCCGGATCTCGGTGGCCTTTCCTCCGGGACTGCCCATACGGACGGAGATGGTGTTTGCCGTTGGGAAGTCAATTTCGACTTCATCCCGGTCTCCAGGAAACGGGGGTGGGCGTGTTGGTAACCCAACTTGTAAGACCTCACGTGCTTCGTGCCTTGCTTTAGGTAGGTCGATGCTGCACCTCTGTGGCGGTGCTTGCTTGCTTGCTTCCAATCTAGAGGCTAGAACCCATGAGGCTCTGTTTGTGTGTTTTTCTGTTGGTTTCAGTTTCAGCATGGCAAACCACATCTCATCCTTTCAATGTCCAGATCGAAGGACTCTTGCCCCCGTACGTGAAGGATCAATGTTTGGCGGCACAATTTCTCCCTTTGCTAGATCCGATCTGGCCGATCTTTGATAATGAGATCTATGTGTAACGAACCCGGCTCCCTAGGCCTGCTGCTTTGTGGTATAATTCCCTTACGAGGCCCGGAGATGTGATTTCCATTGCTGAATTAGGGTGATAACCTCCTCGTGATTGGGGGCACAGGCAAACAATACACGAAGCATCGGTCGGTTCCTGAATCCCATGTTCATCAGCAAACACGATCCATCCGAGATCTCATATCTGACGAAACACGATGCCAGATACCAGATACAAGATGCCATACAGATGAGGAAGAGCGTGTGTCCATGTAAAAGGCTACTGGCAGTCTCCATCCGGTATCTTCTTACTCACCCAGGGTACCCGAAGCTATGGCCTCGGACCTTCCTCACGCTACTCCGGCCGCAAGAAAACCTACCTTAGTCTATCAATGGACGCACCCGAAAACTTTCTTCTTCGTCTTCGACACGGACGCTGGCGGGCAGCAAAAAAAAAAAAAAAACAAAGAGGATGGCCTGCCATCTGTATCCGTACTTGGACTGCCCACTCACTTCCCCCAATCTTCTTCCTGCCAAGATGACCGAAAAAAAAGTTGCTTCAGCGCAGCTGGGAGCTAGTTTGTTCCCCATCAAACCATCATCACGACCACCCTGTACTAGCGCCGCCGCTAGGCCGGTTTGCTAAACCTCATTGTTCGAAGCTGGGGCGCCACTTTTGTTCCCGTTAAGCACGTATCCCGGCACGCAGTAGTTTGTGGGAGCGAACGGGGGGCTTTGTGAGGTGAGGTGATGGTAGTGGCGCGGCGTAGAGACTGGTGGTGGTGGTCTGTTATATGGTCTACGGGACCCGGCCTCTCGGGTAGATACAGCTCGAGCTGAGAGACAGAAAGCGAGAAAGCAACTTCCCATTGTTTCCCGTGCTCCAGCAAGTTTCCATCGCAAAGGACACACCCGCACGGAAGCGAATCCAAAGAATGGCGATCCAGAATCTCTTCGTGGGCCTGGCCCCAACGCAACTCGCAGCACTCCTCTCCCTCCTCTGGCTCCTCTACGCCCTCCAGCTCGGCGTCCGCCGCCTCTACTTCAGCCCCATCTCCCACGTCCCGGGTCCGCGTCTCGCGGCGCTGACGCAGCTGTACGAGTTCTACTACGACATTGTCCTCGGCGGGCAGTACACGTTCAAGATTATCGAGCTGCACCGGCGGTACGGGCCCGTGGTGCGGATTAGTCCGTGGGAGGTGCACGTCGGCGACCCGGAGTTCTTTTCGGAGCTGTATACGGGACCGGGGAGGGTTAGGGAGAAGTGGGGGTTTTATACGCAGCAGGTGTGTCATGTTGCGACTTTAATCCTTTTTTTTCCCTGAGGTGAGGTTGGAAGGGAACTGAACATCTTTTTGCTAATGTGGACTGGTCTTAGTTTGGATCCCCTGGTAAGTAATATCATCAAGCCTTGTCTCTCTCTTTGATAAAGGCAAATGCCATGAGCTAACGATACCTGGAGAGAGTGCGCTGGCGACTGTGAACCATGATCACCACAAACTTCGGCGCGCGGCGCTGAACCCTTTCTTCTCGACGCAGACGGTCCGCAAGTTGCAGCCTGTTATCGAGGAGCGGGTTGATGCGCTGCTCGACCGTCTCCTGGAACTCAGCGAGAGGTCCAAGGAGCCGTTGGATGTCATGTACCCTTTTTCGGCGTTTACCAATGGTAATACAAATACCTGCCCTGTTCTGGAAGGATATAGAGTTTAAGTAACTGACGCGATGGACCAGATGTCATTAACGAATATAGCTTCGCCAGGAGTGACCACCTAAGTGAGTAGCGCGGACTCGAAACATTGGCCTACATGAGTAACGGAAGCTAATTGGGACTTCCGCAGTCGAGGACGAGACGTTTGGCAAGGTGGTGACTGATAACCTCCTCATGGGCACGCATCTGGGGCCCATGATCAAGCACATGAACTGGGCCCTGACGCTGGTCAACGCATTACCAGAGTCCCTCTCCGGACGTTTTATTCCCGGTACGTTCTTCTTTCCTTCTGAGTGTATCGTGGTCTTTGGTTCTCGATTCATCACTCACACAACACACTCATAACAGGCTGGGGCGGCTTCCTCAAGATGAAGAACGACATCAAGGACCAAATCGGCGAGATCAAAGCGACGCAGAACACGGAAAAGTGGCAGCTGGACGTCAGCCATCCGACAATCTTCCACGACATGCTCTCCTCTAAGCTCCTGCCGCCCGCCGAGAAGACGGTCTCGCGGCTCGCGCAGGACGGGCAGATTTTGGTGCAGGGCGGCACGCTCACGACGTCGTGGACGCTGTCCCTGGCCGTGTTCCACCTCCTAAACCGGCCCTCGACGCTGCGCCGGCTGCGCGAAGAGCTCTTCTCCGCGATCCCGGACCGGGATGCCGTGGTGCCGCTCGCGGAGCTGGAGAACCTGCCGTATCTGCGGGGTGTCGTCAAGGAGGCGCTACGACTCGGGTTCGGGACGAGTTCTAGGCTGGCGAGGGTGTGCCCCGACGAGACGCTGGTGTATCACGACAAGGACGGCCGTGGCAGGAGCGTGCACCTCCCGCCGGGGACGGTGATTGGGATGAGCACGTACAAGACGCAGACGGATCCGCGGATTTACTACGACCCGTTTGGGTTCCATCCGGAGCGGTGGGTGGAGGACGGCGAGCGGCTGGAGAAGTATTTGACCGTGTTTTGCGGAGGCACGCGGGTGTGTCTCGGGATGGCGCTGGCGCAAGCCGAGTTGTACCTCATGCTCGCGAAGCTATTCCGGCGGTGGGGCGGAGCGGGCGTCGTGGACGGGAGCGGAGAGGGAGGAGAGGTCCGGCGGGCGGGTGATGTGGGCGTACTGAGGATCTTTGAGACGACGGTGAGAGATTGTGAGATGGCTGCGGATTACTTCATTCCGATCCCTTACAAGGTATGGTTTTTGACGGATCGCAGTGAAGGGTTTTGTGTGTGGCGACTGACGAGCCAATCTAGGAATCCAAGGGGATCCGCGTGGTGTTTGACAGACAGCACTGACTGACGATCGCAGCGGCGTTCATCGTTAGTGCGCAACGGATGCACCAGTGCCGGTGTCTGGTTCAATATGCCCGAGATGTGCTGCAATTTGGGCAGAATTGGTGGCTGGAGCAAGCTCGGGAAATGCGGATTGCCGTCTTTGTCAGTGTGACATTGTTCCATCGCCGGGCCCTTTAGAGTTGCGATAGTCTGAGAAATTGGCGTCAATTCGGGAATGACAAGTACAAAGGTCTTGGCCTCGGCTGCCCGTCATCTCCCAGCACTATGCGAAGCATGGACGGCAATGCTGACGGCAGACTTTGTCATCTGATGATGTGAGATGGGATCGAATGGCAGTGCTGCGGCGTCTAATCAAGTGGAAGAGCAACAGACGATAATAAGGATTAAGAGATCGGATTGTTTCTCGTACATGCACAGAAGAAGAAATAGGTAGGCAGAAGGCAAGTGAGGTCCAAGTTCGCGCCTGTTGCCGATGTGGAGGTCAAACTGCCTGTTGAAAGCAGCGTCCAATGAAATCACCCCAAATAGCAGCTGACTACGGATACGTACTTGGCCGAGTCCGGGGTGGGGGACAAGTCAACAAATCCCCGGTCCGGCGTGGATGCCGTCCGATGTTTAGCGCAGCAGCACCTTAAGCCCGTGGGCCGCAAGGTGCAGGAGCACAGAAGCACAGGAGCACTGAAGGTCGGGTGGGCCCCACCAAGTCCCAGCCAATGGGGCCAGCCAGCGTCAGCCCCTGACCCTGAAACATCGGACTGGGCCGACTGGATCACCACCATGGCCCCAAATTCAGGGGACAAGGGCAGAAAGAGCATGTTTCTGCACCACTCTCCACCACCACGGATGGGTACAGCACCTTAGGTATTACTGCAATGCACCGGCCGACGGCAATGACGGAGGAGCTTGGACACCGCGCGCCGCGACTTCCACGTTGTTCCTTTTACTGAGTGGCCCCGTTCCCCTCCACTGTCCATCCGTACCTACTCCGTGCATACCTTCTTCTTGTGCTGTCACCTGTTGTCCCACCTCGATATTCTTTTTCTTACTTCTGCATACTCTTCTGCTTGTCTTCTTCGTTTCCGCCTTTCTCATCTTCAACTTTCGAGTCCCCAGCCTAATGCAGACTTGGCCTTTCTTTTCTTGCCTTGGCTGATTCACTTCTCCTCCCCTGTTCGACCTCGACTCTCTCTCTCTCTCTCCAACTACCCCACGCTCATTCTCTGAATCACCATACAACGGCTAACATTTGACGAACACCGAATATAACGTCCTCCGCGATTCGATCTACCTCGCTCTTACACGCAGGATAATCAGCGCAGGCTCGCGACAATGGCAGTGGCAGCGACATCACCGTCGCCCTCGGCGGCAGTCGACCCCTCCACGCGCAGACGTGTGCTCAGGGTCATTGCCATCTCTCTGCTTCTCGACCTGGTATTATCCCACACCCTCAAGCCGCTCCGGCCCTCTGTCTCCCACCATTTGTCTCCCAAAACTAACAAACACTGTTCCTCCAGATATCCTTCACCTTCATCCTCCCGCTCTTCCCCAAGCTACTCGAATTCTACCGCGACCGCGAGGTCGGCCCTGAGATCGCAAACGCAACCGGCCCCGCCACCCTCCTCCAGTCCGTGTTGTCCGGTCTGAACCGTTACAAGGCCGCTTTCGCCCGCCCCATCGACTCCCGCTATGATATCGTTCTCCTCGGCGGCGCCCTCGGCTCCCTCTTCAGTCTGCTCCAGGCCATCGCCTCCCCGCTCATCGGCCACCTCTCGGACCGTCACGGCCGCCGCACCGCTCTGCTAGCCTCCATGTGCGGTAACATCCTTTCTGTGCTCCTCTGGGTCGTCGCCGTTGACTTCCGCACCTTTGTCGCCTCTCGCGTCGTAGGCGGCCTGTCCGAGGGCAACGTCCAGCTCGCTACCGCCATGGCGACGGACATCTCGGACGAGCAGAGCAGAGGCTCCACCATGGCCCTCATCGGTGCCTGCTTCTCCATCGCCTTCACATTTGGTCCGGGTTTGGGCGCCTGGCTGAGCAGTATCAGCACCGTCAAGGAGAACCCCTTCGCCACGGCCGCCGGCTTCAGCTTGTTCCTTATTCTGACCGAGACTGTCTACCTCTACTTCTGCCTCCCCGAAACCCTCCCCTCGTTGACGGGCAAGGGCCGCGGCGCGAAGAAGGATGACAAGACCACGACGAAACCGAAATCGACACCCCTGGTCCGAACGAACTCGCACTTCCTTCTCAATGCCGTTCACTTTGTCTTCCTGCTCTTCTTCTCCGGCATGGAGTCCTCTCTCTCATTCATGACATACGAGCTTTTCGCCTTCGGGTCCGCCAAGAACGGCCGCCTTCTCGGTTTCGTTGGTCTCGTCGCCTCTATTCTTCAGGGTGGTGTCACTCGCCGCCTCCCACCTCTGCTCTCCGTGCGCACTGGTGTCGTGGCCTGTCTGGCGTCCTTTGTCCTCCTAGGCCGCATCACCACCACCGGCGGGCTGTATGCCGCGGCGACATGTCTGGCCGTCACGTCTGCAACCGTCGTCTCGGGTTTGAACACGCTGAGCAGCTTCGAGGCTGCCGAGGACGAGCGCGGCGGCAAGCTTGGTATCCTCCGCAGCTGGGGCCAGCTTGGCCGTGGCTTGGGACCGATTCTCTTTACCAGCGTGTACTGGTGGGCTGGCCGCGAAGTTGCGTACACCATGGGTGCCACGGGCATGGCCGTCGTGGCTGCTGCGGTGTTTGCGGGCCTCAAGACGCCGCCCGGGTCATTGAAGAAGAAGGTGCCTGCCGAGAAGAAGGCGGCGTGAAACAGCTTTGATGTGTAAAACAGTGAGATAGAGCCTATTGTGAGGCATTGTATGCAAGATCTCTTTTTTTTCTGTTGATATTTGATCTACTGTACATGTATTCGGAATAGGGGAGCATTTTCAAGGAGTCTGATACAAGGTTCAGTGTAGTATACTCAGGGGGCAAATGTACATGATGTTCTGTTTTATTAAATATGGTGGCAAGCTCTGGATGTGTTCATCTTCATGGGAGTCTCCTAAGTAACGTCTCGCATGGGGTCTGGAAGCTTCTTGTAACTTCAAAAAATGTCACTCTAACAGTCTTGTACAGCATATCACGCACACGGAAGCTAATTAGGGGCATACGAAACATCGGAGTGAGTAATCCGCCAAGAGAATCACCGAGTAATTATTTCTCTTTGATCCTGCTATTCTATCGCATCTCATCGCGTCAAGCCAACAGCACCTCACAGCCCGACCCATTCGAGCGACTTCTCCCAAAGCAAAGTCGCCTTTTCAACATCATACGCGTGCTCGCCGTACCCGGGTCCCCACGGCTCCCCAGCCGGATCCCACGGCCCGATAATCTGACAGTCCTCGAGGTACAGCCCACCTTTACCCTCGAGCGCCGCCGCCGTGGCGGCCCACACGGACGTCGAGGCCCCCTGCGGCGCCGTCTTGAAGATCTTGGAGAGGTACGGGTGCTTGGCGAAGCCGCCCTGCTGCTCCTCGGGCATGTGGCGCATCAGCTCCGTGATGACGCCTCCGGGCTGCAAACTCAGGGCGTGGATCCCCTGGGCGCCGTACCGGCGCTCGATTTCGTTGGCCGTCCAGAGGTTTGCGGTTTTGCTCTGGGCGTAGGTCGCCATGGGGTCGTAGCAGCCGTCAAAGTTGATGTTGGCGAAGTTTGGCTGGCCGAAGCGGTGGGCTACGGAGGAGACGATGACGACGCGGGAGGAGGTGCCGGATGGGGAGGTTGTCGCGGCTTTGAGGAGGGCTGGTTGGAGGAGGTTGAAGAGGAGGAAGTGCGCGAGGTGGTTCGTGCCGAACTGCGTCTCGAAGCCGTCCCTTGTGCGGCCTTCGGGCGGGGTCATGACGCCCGCGTTGCAGATGAGGATGTCGAGCTTGTCCGTGCTGGCGAGGAAGGCGGCGGCGCAGGCGCGGACGCTGGCGAAGGATTCGAGGTCGAGCTCGAGCAGGTGGACGCGGGCTGTGTCGTTGACGAGGTCGTCGCCGAGGGCCTTGCGGGCTTTGGCGAGGTTGCGGGCTGTCAGGTAGAGGGTTGCGCCGGCGAGGTAGAGGGCTTTGGCGGTCTCTGTGCCGATGCCGGCGGAGCAGCCTGTGATGAGGGCTGTTTTGGAGACGAGGCCTGAGGGGACGAGGTTTTCGTCGCGGACGATTTGTTCTGCTGTTGGGCGGGCGTCGCCTGGGCCCTTGGGGTCGGCGTGGATTGCGACGTAGCGGTCTGCCATGATGGTGGTGGTGGTGGTGGTGGTTTGTTCAGGAGAGAGGGAGGAGGTTGTTGATGGAATAGCTTGTTGATTTACGTTCGCAGACGATTGAGAACTTGAAATTGTGATGATCCATCTTATCGTAGTCGCGGGAGGGCTTTATATGACACTTGGACTCTTCACTCTCATCATTGAGAGTTTGCGACTATGACGTTACAGAAGCCACAGTATATACGGATTTACCGTAGCTAAGAGCTGTCATCGAATCCACATGTGGTGTTTTGTTTTAGTCTTGCTTTGCCCCCGGTCAGCAACTAGCTTGACTCGCAGCCATATGTCCGGTCTCGTCCGACATGCTAGACCTCACCACGCATTGCCAGACTTGGAAATCATTCGCCGTAAATTCGCACATTCGTCGACAAGATGGCAGTGATTGCTTCTGAATCGATTCGCGGGTAACGGGTCCACGAAGAACCCGATCTTTACCTCATCCTTCTTAAGTCCGAGAAGATAGCTACATCATTGCCCAGCTTTTCCCGGAGCAACGAGCTGTGATGTAATGATATGCAATGAAGGCCTTGTTCAATATAGAAGAATCTCGTAGCTCGAGTGTCAATTCCTTTACTTCAATCTGCCTAGAAATTAAAAAGACCATTTCCCAATCATCTCCTTTCACTTTGTACTCGCTGTTTGCCCGCAAACCTATCAAACCCCCTTCCCCCAACTTCCTTCATCATCAAAGCAACAATGGCCCAATTAGTCTGGCTCATCACAGGCTGCTCATCAGGCCTCGGCCTAGAACTGTCCCGCGAAGTCCTGAAAAGGGGCCACCTCGTAATCGCCTCCTCGCGATCCCCAGAAAAGACGCCCCATCTCGTCGAGGAGATCCAGCAAGCGGGCGGCCACTGGATCGCCCTCGACGTCACAAAGGACAATGTCCAACAACAGGTAAACAGCGCAGCACAGATCCACGGGCGTATCGACGTCCTCGTCAACAATGCCGGCTACGGCATCGCCGGCGGCTTCGAGGACCTCGGGTGAGAAATCCCAAGCCAATAGGTATTCGCCAAAACACAATTTGACCAGAGACTCCAGACTAAGCGACTTCCAAACCCTCTTCGACACAAACCTCTTCGGCACGATCCGCGCAACCCAAGCCGTCCTCCCGCACATGCGCGCCGCCCACTGGGGTACCGTAATCAACATCTCCTCCACAGGCGGCCTCCGCGGCCTTGCCGCCGTATCCGCCTACTCGTCCTCCAAATTCGCCGTCGAGGGCCTCTCCGAGTCGCTGGCGGCCGAGTACGCCGACTTTGGCATCCGCGTTATACTCGTCGAACCGGGCCCGTTTCGTACCTTGTTCAGGGACCAGCCCGGCTTCTCGCCCGCCGCGGGCCGGATGAGCGCGTTTTATGAGGGCACGGCGGCGGAGGGGGTGTTGAGATATTTGGAGGGTGGTGGTGGGAAGCAGGCTGGAGATCCGGTGAGGGCTGCGAGGCAGATGTTTGATTTTGTTACGGGGGAGGGGTTGGCCACGGAGGTGAGGGAGAAGGAGAAGGAGCTGGGAGAGGGGAAAGGAGGGAGGTTTCTGAGGCTTCCGTTGGGCAAGGCTGCTGTTAAGACGGCGCGGGAGAAGGTCGAGGATTTGGAGCGGAATGTTGATGCCGTGGCGCATATTGCTAATGCTTGCGATTTTGATGAGTGAGGGGGGTAGCTGGAAGCTATTCGAAGGGGAAGTTCAGGGTTTGTCCTCTTCAACGTCAACTTGTTTCTCATGTGAATAGGGTAGTTGAAGGGAACCGTCTTGCCTGGCGCGGTGACTCTCTCGTACGAAAAAAGCATTGTGTTGAGGCAACCTGCTTGGATATGATGGCACTGCTGCAATGCATTTGATATCAGTTGATGAAATTCCCCGTCTACTAAGTTCCCGCGCCAGACTTATAGACAGTATATCTGCTGGCGATGGAGCACCTTAAACATAATCATCCCATGAAAGGCAAAAGTTCCATATGAAGAATAAAGCTGTAGATATACTATCTTGATTAGCCTCAACTTTCTTGGGCGGAGTGAGAGTGACCAGTCCTCCTTCAAGCCGGTGCCTCCCCTTTACTACATACCAGAGCCCAATAGAACATCAGATGGAGGTGAGCGGTTGCCCTTGTCGGCTACGAAAGAGGTAATTAACACTATCCTGGCGCCCTCGATATCTTACTCAGCTCTCGATCAAACCATCATTGGGATATCACGACAGAATCGCAAACCTTCCAAACCCCCAATGATCCATCAAGCCATACAGACAATCACTTTCTGTAAATTCCACTATTGCTGTGTTTCAGGGCCTTTCCAAAAAAAAAAAAAAAAAAAAAGCCTTTGCAGCCCAAGGACATCAACAAACGGAATACACACAAACCCAGAAACTTCACACCGCCCACCCCCCCCCCCTCTCCCATTCTTAACGCGCCTTCCCGTCATCTGAAGTCCAACAAACAGATCCAAAGACCAGGTGGCCGAATGGTTCCAAGCACGCCGTCGTGGAGCAATAGTAGCTTATTGGCCTCCTATCCTTACAGACGGAGTCTCAGCCAAAGGTTGCGGGTGCAAGTCCCGCCGTCGGTACAACTTTTTTTTTCATTTTCACTCATTACTTTGCTCTTATCCTTCGAGACCATTTTTTTCCAGCTCATTCTTTGTATTTACAATGAGTCTCCTATTCAGTAGTGATTTACGAACCGTAGGAGGGATTCTTGGGACACACGAGAATCGAAGTAAACGTCCCAAAGGCTTCCCTTAAATACCCCGCCCACCTAATCACATAACGCAGTCGAGAGACAAAAGAAAACAAAAATCATTCAAGCTACATTGCGTGGTTGAAGTACCACTGATATGTTTTTTCGTCCCATCGAACGAAAATATAAATAGTCTATAGCTTAATAGCTCGGCATTCTCAATAAGCTCTCGTGTTCATGTAGGCTTCTACATGAACAATGCGAATGCCATCTCTACCAAGAAACGAGCCCAGCCTCGATCGCTCCTTTACCACTTTATCCCACTTCCTACCTTATGGCTCGTGGGATCGGGGGGGGGGGGGGCTTGCTTCAGCGCATCCAAACCAACGCCCTACAAGTAAGTAATCTCAACAGATACTTTGACAATGATTTTAAGTTTGGATCGAAAAAAAGGCACTATAGAGTCCGAAGACCGCCATTCAAGCCCAAGGCAACATAACCAGAGACAACAGTAAGGAAACCACAAATATATTCGTGAGATGCTGGCTGCAGGAAGTAGACGTACAACGTTCCTGGGCAAGGGAGCTACAGGATTCTGACCGAAGTGGCAGCTTGATCTTAACTCCCGATACAGATAGACAAGGATCTCCATCTGAAATTCAGAATCTGAGCCCAGTATAAACGATGTCTAACGGCCTATTCATCTATGTTTAGGTGAATCTGTGTAAACTGCTACAGCTTCACGTCTTGCTAGAAGAAGCTCGTCCTTGAGTAGACAGACTAGCCACCATGGGACGGCCTTGGTGAGAACATCGCGCCTGGAGTCTCATGGAGGTCTTTCAAGCTTGCCACGCCTCCGTTGAGTGATAACAATTGGAAGCTGCTGCGAGTGATGAGAGTTGAACATTTATCTTCGAGGCAAGGAAGAATAGTGGTATCAGAGAACACAACGACTCGTTCGTGCCCAATCCAAAAACACCCCAAAATGCTGCTTCAATCGTTGAGCACTCGGAATACAAACCACATTATTCGCTGACCCAATAAATGGTTGCCCTTCAAGTTGCCGAGTGACATCTGAGTACCGACTCCCATCCTGGTCTACTGTATATGTGCCATGCACGGAGCACACATAAAGCCATTAGAGATGAGTTGACATGTGGCTAGTGCTCGAAGACAGCTGGACGCGGGGAAAATAACGACAAACCAAAACGAAAAACAAAAGTCCTTCACAATCAGAAGAAAGAAAGCATGTCAACAGCCGGGTTCATCCGAAGTTCGACGCAAAGAAGTCCGTACGTACATCTACCGGGGCTACTGAATTGGTTTGACGCGCACCCCACCTTTTGAGTTTCCACACTCCAAAGGAAGACTACTTGGAAAAGGCTGAAGAAGGTTGGGCCGAGATGGCATATGTTGCCCCCCCCCCCCCTTTCCTGTCGTCCCTGATCGGGGCCTGATGCCAAAGGTAGTGTACGTGGGGAACACGCTCTTCCCGTGAATCGTGTGTCCGAATCTGCAAGCGCTGGATTGGATGCCATGTGCCCATGTCTGGCCAGCTCTGACTGGCTTCCCAGGTGTGATGTCGAAGGACCAAATGCAAGAACCTGCATGTCGGTGCATGCGTGGTTTGCAACCTCTCCCTACGTGACCCTCCTCCCACCTGCACCACCTGCTGCTGGTGCTGCCATCGCGAACGCGGCTGGCTCGATGGCGACCGCAGCTTTGAGCCCGGCAGTATTTATGACTGGAGGTCCCATGATTTGGGACGAGCGACGTCCCCCTTCTCGGTTGCTCCAGGGCGAGCAAGACTTCTTCGAGTTTGATATCTGTGATTCAACGCGACGTACCGATTTTCTCCCGGCAACGCATTCCGGGCTTTCGGCAGCGCATTATTGGCCTGCCGAATCGAGTGGCTCCCCGAGATCCGAGCCGGTGGGTGTGATGTCTTCCCGGGAGCTCTCTAGCTTTCTTCCGTATTGCAAAAAGTAATTATCAGATCCGCCGTTCTCAAGACTGCCAGAGCGGCACCATGGCAGAGCGAAATCCAGAGGGGCCAAACCCACTGGCAACGATTGCGTACTGCCATTTCGATCAGCATGTCGTACGAGTCGCAATGACGGACCGCGGCGCTTCCAGAAAATTAGCCCTGGTGCAATTGGTGACATGCAGCTTTAGTGCTTTATTGGAGTGGTCCCCAAGCGGCGAGTCCAAGAGCAGCTAAGCGGGATTACCCCCATGTTTCCCGCTGCCCAGCACCATTAATTTCGTCAGCAAACTGTGGGAGGCTACACAAAAGGTAGACCGTTGGAGCATTGCGTCGGATGTTGTCCTGGATTCGGCCTGGTGTTGGCCACCGTTTCCTTGTCAGGCCGCTGCTCTTTGCTGTTCGGGATCGAAGCTGAGAGAAAGACAGGCGCTGCCCAAGTTGCTACTGAAAGATTTTGTTGATTTTTGTGCGATGGGATGATGACTTCATGGCTGCTGCAAACACTTTGGTCCCCGATCATCAGCTGTAGAATACTGTGCAGACAGGTAGCTTTACTATCTTGGACAACTGCTCATGTCAGGTGTTAACGGCGTGAAGTCGGGGACATGTCCGTAACCTGGTTCCCCGTAACCCCGCGAATCACTTAATTGGACTCGATCTCTGTACAAAAAGGATGTCTGACGCTACCCCATGCGAGAGTTGGGTGTGACAGCGAACTGGCCGCAGAGTACAGATAGCTAGCTGGTCGCCCATAAGAAAGGCGGGACTGAGTTACTAGACGTTGTTGACCTTGGTCGGACGCCATCAGCCAGCGGCGCAGTTTCTTTCGGCATTGTCGGGACAATAATCCTTCGAGAAGAAACAACACAGTATGGCCATCACAGATCAGCTGGGCCAAATGCAGTGTGGTAGGCAGGGAAATGGACAGTTGGCAGCCCGTTCATTGTACTGACTGAGTGGTTGGGCTGGACTAAACGTGCGCTTGTGGCGTCGGTCACTTGCAAGTGAGGTCCTCGGTTTGTTTTCATTATACCTGACACGTCAAGATGGTTCTGAGCAGTACGGCGTCTAAGCTGTGTCAGCCGGCCCTTCGACACATCAAAATTCAGTTCGGAGAACCTGCCATCAATTCCTCAAGAGAAAATCCAAGGTTTGGCGAGACGGGACGAGTGCGAGACCCTCGGGCGGCGGGCTGCCATCAGACCATCACAATCCAGATCGTCGGGTTGGGCTGTCGCAGTCGAGACAGAAATCAAACTCTGCGCAGTACCGCCCGTGGGTTTCTCGCCATGGCGATTCCGAACGTCCAATGGACGTGACGGATCGTTCTGTCGTATCTCCCAGTCTCCCCAAAGATCCCTTGGGCCGGTAATGAGGAGTTTCCGGTTGGGAGAAAAATCGTACCAGCCACAACCAAAAGGGTCCAAACAGGTGAACAGCCAAGACGCAGGTTGCTTCAATGGAAGGGAGCAGGTTCAGGGATCCTTTGATGGGTCCACTTCCCGAGTCGACAAGAGAACAGAGTTGGAAACTGTTCCATTGAAGTTTCAAGAATCAGCGGCGCGTCTTCCATTCCATCAGGGAGGGCGCCAGCAGCCGACGGATCGCAGAGAGACATCGGCAAGCTGCCATCGATATCGATGCCGACTTTTTGCCGCGCACTGGTGGCCATTCTGCAACCGGTTACGGGTTAGTTGCCCCCCCATTCAGAGAGCTGAGCCACCAGTACTAGGACAGCCTTGCAGGCTTGCAGCGTGCGACCTGCTGCATAGGTGCGTGATGATGACCTCCTGCAGGCCGCGCGGGCTGCAGGTATGACGGCACGGCAGCCGTATGCTGCATCTTTGGCAACTGCGGCGGAGTGGTGGTTGAAGGTTGTCGTTGGTACACCATCACCCTCACTTCATAGCGTTTCCACGTCTTGCGCAACTCTCGTCAATTCCATCAAAAAAAGGCTGTCCGCCTGCTCGGAACGTTGGACCGACTCAAGTTGCATCATGATCAAGACCGTTTCGACATTGGGCCTCAGAGCAACCGAGCGGAAGCCAAAGAAGAACCGACTCGGCGGACATTACTATCTCGTGTCGGCCACGATGGTCTGATCCCATCGCACGGTTTTGGTGATTCGTTGACATTGCGACGGCGCAGCTGACAGTCTGCCAGCGCCTTGAATCGTAAAGCTTGAGGGATCTGGGATCAGGGGAGGACGAGGTGTGGATCACCAGAGATTGAGGGATCTGGCCTTGCGGTATGAAGCTCGGGACGCTGACTGCCTGAGGCGAATGGGGCCGCAGCGCGAACCTCACAACCTGAAGAGAAGAGCAGTCCGGGAGAGTCGTGTTTGATTGCCGCTTCTAGGGCACGCATGGCTCTCCATCTTGGGGGCGAGAACTGTCCGTTCGTATCCTTCTAGAACACTGGCGATGCGGAGATCAAAATTATTGTCGAACTGTTGATATCAGTGATCTTCCCGTGGAGCTGGGCCGTGTTTGGTCCGAAAACGCCGACGCCCTGAGACTCTATGGAGTAGTAGCGGTGATCGAACGGAGGCTCTCCTATCGAATCAAAAAGATAAGAATATGCCGGCCGTGGTGTTTCCGCATACCGTTACCGACGGAATCCCGCCGTCCGCAAAGTCCTGTGCATGACCTGTGGGGGAAGATGGAGGGAGGTGGGAACGCGGCGGGAGTTCGGTCCATTGTGAGGAAGGTCGTTTGGTCGGATCCAATGGGTCTTCGGTGATGCGAAGTGTGCATGGCGAGCACTGTGCGGGGTAACAAGCTCGATTTTCTTGTTGCTCTGGAAGCCCTTCACAACCCAAATCATCAGGAAGTATCCGTACAAGTAGAGCAATGCCGATCATGTTGACAGCGGCCGGCAAGGAAACTTTCAGATTAAGGCAAGCCAAATGCTGACGGCACCTACAAACTACAACACGGTAGCATGTCGACGTGTCAGTTTTGGTTGGCCAAAAGGGTTACAAGTCATAGGCGGTGCATCCTTGTCGACACCAGCTCGGCTGTTAAACCGTAGTCTGTTGGTAACAAAGTGGTAGCCTCTCGTTCGTAGTTGTCAGGTTTCGGAGAGGGAGAGGCGAGGCAAGGAGGTTCAAGGACACCCACCTCCAGAGTCAGTACCTGGTTAGCGGGTAGGGCAAGTCGGGCTAGGGCGGCCCCCAGAGGCGAAGAAAGGCAGCTAGGAAAGATGAAGAGCGACCATCTGAGACGTTAACCGATCAAATCGCATCTCGAGAGAGGCGGGTTGCGGCCTCAGCTGACGTAACTGCTGGCTCCGAAGCTGCGTGTAGCCGCTGGGGCTAGATGCGTCCGAGAGGACAGAAAGTGACCGTAGCACAGAGGGCAATTACCGACACGATGCTTCTTTGTTGAGGTTTTGCAAGCATGGCACGTTCGTATGGACCTCGAGAATGTCGTTCCAATGATACGGAGTATGGTGAAATAGGGGTTTATCTGCGGGCTCGCGGCAGTGAACGTTCGTTCTCTAGGGACCCATACTCCGTATGCCAGGGCTCACGAATTCTTGCTGCTAGAGCGCGCGAAAGAGCAGATCTGCGGTCCACTTGGTACCTGGGGTGTAAATTGATGAGAAGGGTCTCGGCCTTGACCATGGGGTTTGCTCTTTGGGATAGACATGGAAGCATGCGGAAGTAGAAGTACGGGACTGGCGGCAATAGCTTGCTTCCTGCGTCGGTGGCTGAAATCGTTGCTCGGCTCGGTCTGCAGAAAGATCAACCTTCCAATGGGCGCCAGCGAGATGCAGCAACACAGACTTGAGTGTCCAGACCGAGGCAGTTGACAAAGAACGGAGAAAGCTGGTGCGTGATGACAAGGACCTGAGCCACAATTCGCTGTCCTGCAGGCATCGTCTTCTGTGGGAAGAGAAGGGTGTTGGACCATGGTGATGTTGAGCTTGGCTAATGGTGGTCCGCCGGCGTTGAAGGTCTTGAGGGTGTCTATGCTGAGCACGAGGTTCCCGATGTGAGAATATCTAGTCTTCTGGTGTGTTGCCCTGCTGGATGGCGTCAATTTGTGTGTCCGTACTTTTCTAAGAGGTAATCACGAAATATATATCTGTCCGGCCCTATTTCCCTCATATCCGCTTATGACCAGATTCGAAATAAAGTACGGAGTAGAGAATGGGGAAAGACTGGAGACGGATGGACTGACGCCTTCTAGCGGTTGATGGGATAGGAGACAGGTTTGTGTGTGCCCAGAATTCCGCTTGCGCTTGGCAGTTGCTTGCTCTACAATGTGACCAACTTGTTTGGAACTTCACATGACGCGGTAGGACTGAGGTCAACAACGGGCCGTAGAGGTGTTCACGTAATGTGAGTGCAGCAAGCAGACAAGACGTAGGAAGGAGCGTTGGGCAGCAGATTTGTGTGCCATGGGAACGCTCCTGACGATAAGTCCAATGTGCCAAACGTTCTTTCCCCGAACCTTGACATGAGTCTCAAAGGACGGCTTCTCGGAGCTCATGCTCATCTACCTAGTTCGCAATACCATATCAGTTCCTACAGGCAGATACCTTACCTAGACACCTTGATTTTACCATCTTCCATTCGCACTCCCAGGTCTTTTCGGTTTTGAATGATGTGAGCTGCGGCGATACGGATAAGGCACGTCCCCGTACCTACCTTACTGTTTGGTAATGGCAATCGCGGAAAGGGCAAGCAAGGTACATGGGTACTTGTTGCTCGTTAGCGTGGGTGGATCAACCAGAGGTTTAAGTGGTTAGCAGGGGTGCTCCCCACGCATTGGTCTGTGTCTGGCCCAGTCGTTATTTCGGGTTTCTTGGAGATTGTCTGCTTGGTGCTTGCTTCGATAGTGACGCTGACGAGTCTGTCCTGGTGCTGTGCAAGATTCTGAGAGGCACAGCAAGCATGTGTGATTTGTGACGCTCGCTCTCCGCGGTTCTCGTCTAGGCAGTACCAGGACTTCGTAAACACCGGATACAGGGACACCTTTCCAGGCCTAGGTCTGGCGACATTTTCTCTGGAATCCCAATGTTGAGAATTCAAGGGGCGGGAGAAAGACGAGGGTGAGGAAAGACGCGACATGGAATGAGAGGCGGACCATGGAAATGCTCGGGAAGAAGAACGAACGGCGCGGGCGGGAACCCAAGACACAGACAAGTACTGATACCGTGCAGTCGAAACGGCGCTAACGCAACAAATGGAGATTTCGACGGGGAACTACGTACCGGACTACCTTGCTCTGTCTTTTTGTCGTTCTCCTTCCTTTTCTTCCCTCCTTCTTACCTCATCACGAAGAACCGGAAACTGGCAACTTCACAAGCAGCTGTCTTGTCATCCTTTCAGAGACCTGCAGACGGACCCGGCGGATCCAACGGCAAGAGAAGGAGAGATAGGTAGGGCTGGCGAGATGGTACCTTACAAAGAAGTATGCATGTTCCTCTTTTCATCTCGAAATGCCAATCTCCTTCTCCTGCTTCTCCAATATCGAGTGGGTCGCCTGCCGACCCCGGCCCGCCTGGCTTGGAAGCTTGCTGAAGCCTGATGATTGACGGGATGGGATGGAGCAGGAGCACTGGACCAACTTAGCAAGTCTGGCAAGTTGGAGCCCCAGATATTAGGTACGTTCGACTGATGGATGGCGTCTTGCTATGCTTACCCACGCGATTTGCCAAATGTTAATTATCCCCGAGACCGCATGCGACGACCTACAGGCGCTGCGGCGCAGGCGCAGGTGCAGGTGCAGGCGGGCGACCGCCGACGATGACATGGCCTCTATCACATAAGCTATCCGTTCCAATTCCTACCTTAATGGGTTCCGGATGATGCTGAATGGTAGGGGGCGGCAGCCTGGCAGGCCACTTTTCGAAGAGATACTGGACGGATACCATCCACAAGCTCCCTCGGCTTGTTTCCACGTCGACACGCCCCCGTCTTCTGCCTCCCCTCCCACTCACTCAGGTCCACCGAGATACATGTTCCGAGGAGGTCAATACCTCACCTTACTTGCATATCCTTACAGCCATGCAGCTTCCACGCAGTCCTGATGCATGCCCTACAACTTGGAAATCTCTTTGAGCATCGACGAACATCGAGACGTTGCGGCGGACCGGCTGCTCGCCAAAGGGAGAGCCGACTTGTGGATATGAATGAAGGCTGTTGGCTGTTGAGTAAGCGCTGCCAAATGCTTACATGGACAGTGAAGATTTTGGAGTCTGCCCAGTGGAGGCGTACCATCCAACTTCAGTCTCTGATGACTGGTACATTGCCTCTTCTGGTGTCTCGTCTCAAATTGACGTCTCGTCTCGACAGTGTCGCGGCAGGCTCCCTCGCTCAGTATTGGGAATTCCAACTTCAGGCACGGAGTGGAAGGGAGAAGCTTCGGAGGAATTCGAGGTAAGCGCGTAGACTTGGTCCAGTACCCAAGTGGGAGGGCGGTTGCCCGCGAACAGGTTGTCGTGCTCGATGTGGTCGGCCGGACATCATACCTCAGACTCATGGGGTTGAGGGAAAAAAGAAGATCTATAAGGGGAAAGTGACGATGGTAGGAAATCTACTGACTGTCAATCCTAGATGAAGAAAGGTAGGTGCTTTCGAAAGGTACAGAGTAAGGTATTACCCCTACCTCACCTTACCTCCCGTTGGAAAGTTGAAGGCAGGCACGTTCTCGAAGGCAGAGTGTACCGGTACCTTCCTCCGGTTCGGCCACCCCCACCCCGTCCTCCTCCTTCTCAGCGATGGAGTTCCCGTCAAGTTCTTGCGCTAGCGTCCCGTTGCTCAAAGTGCAGTGTCCAATGTCGTCTCTCGTCCCTGGCCCCCCTTGGTCCCAGATTCCCAGTTGGTGTCCCAGTCGCCGTTGCAGTTTGCAGTTGCAGTCGCAGTTGCTCTTTCCCACCCAGCAGTTTTCAATGTTGAGGAGGTGCACCTCACACCCTTCCTCCCCGGCCCTCCCCCTTCGCTCCTTCTACCTGTTGCATATCCGCAACATGGCAAGGTACCCAAGGCAGAAACCTTCCACGACCTAAGGTGAAAGCAAGGCACCTCGAGTTAGGTACCTACCTAGGTAAGTAGGACAGATAACGTATGATACCTTAGGTAGGTACGTCCGCACTTACCTAGGGGTACAGAGTGCCCGCCCAGAACATAGGAATTTGATGCTCTGACATGTAAAAATGTTAGACGGGCAAGGGCATGTGCGGGTTGTGCGTCGGGTGCCTCCCTCGTCTGCGCAGTGCTAGTGTACTCCGTACATAGGAGTGAAGTAAAATACGGTATCCAGTTGGCACCTTCCTCGACTTCCATCTCCTTCGCCCCTCCACCCCCCCATCCTCCACCCTCCATCCCTGCCTCGTCTCCTCGCAGTCGCTGCTGCCCCGGTATGCCCCCCAAGCCTCAAGGTACCCAAGACTGCCTTACCTCACATTGGTATTCTCCTTCCCCCTCCTCCACTTCTAGTGCTTGGCTGGAAACTTGTCGCTGCCGAACTCCCCCAAGTGCAGGTGCGAGTTGCAAGTCACAGGTCGCAGTACCGAATACTTCGTACCGATACAGAGACAACCTAGCCTACCACTTCCTCCTGCCTCCTCCTCCACCAGACCACCACCCACTGCGTGACTGCCAACTGGAACTGGGCCTTCCTTCCGCATCGGCTTGGCTGTGCTGCCCCCGTACGAAGTACCTTTCCAAGTCCCTACTGCTTCTGCTCCTCCCTCTCACGTTCGGCTCTCCCACTCTTTTTTTTCTCATGTATTTTTGTATTTTTGATTTCATTTTCCACACTCGCCTCTTTTAATCCTGCCACCCCGGGACTGGCTGCACTAGCAAACGCAAAAAGTCATCATCATCATTCTCTCAGTGACTTCCTCTCTGCCCTGCCTGCTCTGCTGGCAACGACTGCTCGACTTCTTCTCACTGCCTCGAGTCCTACGTCGCCTTGCCACGGTCGAAGTCGAGCCAAGGCACAGGCCTTGAACACCAGAGAGGGAAAAAAAAGATACATCTTGACCAGCATCACTCTACCTAGGTACCTAAGGTTGTCCGACCCGGACGCTACTTCCTAATACCCAGACCACCTCACACACACACACATCCACCCACCCACCCACCTACCTAATAACCCAGACGTCCGATTCGACCCGCCAGTTCGCCGTCGTCTCGTTTCCCGCATACCTCTTTACTCTTCTCCATCTTGGAGCATTCGCCTGATTTCTCTCCATCACCTCAAACCGCACCAGCCGACGACCGCCACCTCGAAACGAGTGCCCTCGCACCAAACTCCGCTGCAAAGGAAATCCATCTTGCGCATCTCTGGCCAACAAAAACAAGAGTCTTTCTTTGCTCTACCTCTCGCCTGCTTTCATACCCGTTGATCGTTGACTCGAGCCCGCGCAACAACTTCGAGGAACAAACCCCGTCCCTCTTTTCCCCTTTGGTGAGTGGTTTCCCTGTCAGTCCGCTACAACCCCTGCGCAAAAAAAGCCGCGAGACATTTAACCGCGCCGCCGCCCATACCCAAAAATTTATTTTCCCTGTCTTTCCCGTTGGCCTCTCCCCTGACACTGCGGCGCCGTTCTTCAACCCATCCCTTTGCGACACCGTTCCTACTGAGGCTTCTCAACCGCGCCTCTGGTCTCGAACATCGCCTTGAGAAGACCTGAACTGATTTTTCCCTTCTTCCAGAAAGGATCAGAAATCTCTCGACCGGCCTTTTTCGCGCGGCACTTTCCTCTCGACCTCTCAGACAACAACTGTGGCCAACCGGGTTTCATCTCCCTCAACCACAAGCATCACCATGTCCTACTACGAGAACAACCCGCAATGGTCCAATCCCGGCCAGAACAACTGGGAACACCAAGCGCCTCCTGCCCGTGCTGGTGAGTCGGCCCAGTTGTCGCAACAGCACCAAATCGCAAAACCAGACGCCGGAATTGACTCGAGGTTCTCGCCAACAGGTGCCAGCGGCCCAACGCCCCAGGACGACTTCGCATTCTTCTACCAATTCGAGGGTAGGTCATCTCGAAATCTTCGGCGCGCGGCAATCCAATACCATGGCGCGGGCGTCTGTCTATTGTCTACCCGCGCCTACAGTGTGCCGCGCGCAGGAAGAGCAAGGCTGACGAGATAATTACTATAGATGTGGTGCGGACACTGACTGCTAGGCCTACAGAGGTTGATCGTGCGTACGAGAATCTCGCCAAGGGCGGGAAGTCATACGGCATGGGCGGTCGCGGACGTGAGTACCCAACCCCTGGTGGCCCCAAGATGGGTCCCGCCGGTCATGGTCCCGCCAGAAAATCCCTCGACTTCAGTAAGTCTGCCCGCAACTGGCGGGCATCACCGCAGCCTTCCCGATGCTAACTTGTAACACGCAGCCGGACGCATGGGAGCCGGAGCCGGTCCCGGACCCAGACCGCACTCGATGAACCAGTTCGATGATGCCCGAGGCCACCCCAACTCGAACCTCCAGAACTTTTACGCCTCCCAGCGCCACCAGCCCTCCCGAGGCTCCAACGACGCGGAACAGATGATGCAGGCCAAGAGAAGGATGGCCGCCCAACGGGAGCGGGAACTGCGAAACCTGCACACTGAGCAGCAATACCAACGAAGTAGGCCGCCCTCTTCTGTATAGCACACATACTCCATATGCCAGGGGGGAACCAGCAAAGCAGAAAAATAGATAATTCAGGCCGAGGGGTTTCACCATCATGCGCATCCTGCTGCCCCGTCATGTCACTGTCGAAAGATGCTATCCTGAAAGATCCTTCGTCCATCCCTTCCCCGTAATACCGAGAGATTTCGGAGGAAGCCATGCTAATCAACTGTGCGCGCAGCCGTCGTTTCTGACATCCCCTACGGTGCCAAGGCCATGTCCGAGGAGGAGACTCGCGACTTGATTGCTCGTCAGCGGAGCGCCTTGTATGGCGAGGGTCCGTTTGCTGAGAAGGCAGGCTATGTCGACGAGAACGGAGTCGTGCGCACTGGCGTTCCGACCCATAGCGGCCCCTCCAGCCTGCGTGGTCAATCTCCCTTGACCTACGATCCGGCTCGCGGCCCGCCTCCTCACGGTGATGCTCATACTCCCGTTTCGGCTACTGATGCCGGTCCCGGGCCCATTGCTGGACCCCCGGGCGAACAAGGCTCGCGTGGTGGCAGCATCGCCAGCCCTCAGCCTAACGCTCCGAGCAACAACAAGAGTGCGTTCGAGTCCGCGGTCAACCAGGCTGCGGCCCGCACCAACAACTCTTCGCCTGGCGGCTCCCCGCCGCGTCAGGAACTCCCGGCCGGAGCCAAATCGGGCCAGACCGTTGCTCCCATTGGCACTCGACCTTCAGGAAACCAGGCTGGAGCCTCGAACCCGTCCTCGAAGAGATCTACCACACCATTGGCATCCCCTGGCGGTTGGGGCCGTGGAAATGGGGTGTGGGGCCCCCAGTCTTCCGGCCTGAGCCAGCCTCCCGCGAGCGTCTGGGGCTAGAAGAACTCGACGCCTTGAACCGCATCACGTCATTTGGAAACGTTGGCGCAATTATGGAATTGAACAGGAAGAGAATGATGGTTAGGAGGTTTGCGCGGGTGGGGTTTCAGCTTGATTTCAACATCGATTGATTTTCCACGGTCACGGAAAACTTGATATATACCTCGGTCTCGACACGGTACTCGGAGTGAGGGTGTCCTTCGGCATCTTTTGAGGAGTTTTCTTTTTACACCATAAGCAGGGGCCGAATCCTGCAACCTCGGAGTCGAACAGTATTGCTACGGGGTAAAAGGAGATGCATGTCAAAGGAACACGAAAGAGGGGGTCAGCAGTTGTTTAGGGTGTTGGCAGGGAGATCACAGCGTCAAGGAACTGTTTCGGGTGATCTGGGAAATTCAGGCGACTGTGAACACGGAGCAGGGCGATTCATTTTTCTGTTCTTTTGGGCAGTTGTCCGTTCGGGCTGGGCATGGAATGATTCGGGTGCCAAAAGCGTCGGAGGGCAACCTATGATTCGAATTGCAAGCATACAATACGGCGTGGGCGTGTATTCCGACATCTGGTTTGACTCGAATGGGTTGGGACTGGGAAACGCACATCCGGGGAGTTGGTACAAAGCACACAAGACGACTCTTCTTTTCACACGGCGAAAAAAATCACACAAAAAATCAGGGATTTGGGGAATCGGGGTGTTTCTGGATTCTTACTTTGGGGGGGATCCGTTTTTCCTTGTCTTCCTGCTATGGGGGTTCTTACACCGGAAGGTTGCGCCGCAGGAGTTCTTCACTTGCCTTTCCAACCCTTGACTGCTTCTGGGACACCGGGACGGTCAGGGCTATAATGAGGTTTCGTGATTCTTTTCGACACGGAAAAGAAGAGGGAAACTTGGCCGCATCAAGAGAGGGGATTTGGTCAGGAAAGATGCGGATTAGATCATCAACATGGGTTTGCGTTGGAGACGGATCGGATGGGACTGTTTTTTCTTCATAGTTTTGTTTTGGCATGCACGCTTCGCTCAGGACAGAGCAGCAACCTAATCAAAAAAATACATGGATTTTGGTTTCCCCCCAAGTTTTATCTGGCCTCTGAATGTTCGTGCTCGTATGCTGAAGTTGATGATTTGCTGGGGAGCAAGGAGTGACGGGAGAGCATAATCCTCAAAGGTCTAGGTCTAGTTGAGAGCCCCCGTTTGGTTCGGATAGGCCCGAACCTTGAGTCTGGTAGTAACTTTGCCAGAGGGAAACGTGAGGGAAGGTCACACGCTAAATGATGGGGAAAGGGGGAAAGGGTATTAAGATCTACGGAGTGACAGCCGGTAGTTGACATTTTCGCTTTCGCTAAACTCTTCCCCCCGATGATGGGTGACAAGGTGTGATGGACCGGGGGTGAACATTGTCAAGTGGGTGACAAAATCGATTTCCGCTCGACGTATTCGACATGCTGTTCCATCGCTATTATCACTAATACCGCTATTATCACTAGTATTGATGATATCTATTACACAGAGTGTATTTCTCTACGTATATACCTCAGAAGAACCTTAATATAGAAAGGGATAGTAATTATGATATGAGTGGTAAAAGGGGTACTTATCAAGATGAAGAGCAGGAAATCGATTTTGTCACCCACTTGATTGTCTAGCGTGCCGGAGACAGTAAGGCGAGGGGATTACGGGGGGTAAGTTTCCGGCCCGGCGGCCTAGTAGAGATTTGCTGGGAAATGGGTATTCCTTCCATCGTGGTGAGTGCGCTCGGACTATTGAAGTGTGATGATGATGATGTGCTTCTGCTGTTATTATTTGCTACCTCGCATGTGTGTGTGTGTGTGTGTGTGTGTGTGTGTGTGATTGTTACGGGTACATGGTCCGTGGGAGGAGGGGACTACCTATTGGGTGAAGGGTGTAAAGGGTCCGGGCCGGTGGCTTGCGGGAGGTTCCGTTGCCGCTTCCGCCCGTTTGAACCGTTTTTGGGGGGACGGGATGGCCGCGGCGCTCGGTTCGGTCGGGTGGTTTTCTTTATTTGGGGGGCAGATAAGACTTGGGGGGCGGGTTTCAATGGTTTCGGGGTGTTCCGTAGAGTGTGGTTTGTGTGGTTTTGGATTGATTGTTCGAGGGGTGGGATGCTTTATGTGCTGCTTGTTATTGATATTGGAATTTTTGATATATTATGCGGAGCTTGCGGTAGGTATGGATGGGAGCTGTTGGAGATGTACGGATAAGGTGAGAGGCTTTGAGGGTGTATGCTATTCTTGACTTGAGAGGGTCTCTTCAATGGTTCATCTTGATTTATTGAATTGCCGCCTTTTAGAGGCTTATTTTAAAGTATTATTTCTTCCTCAGATCAATGTCCGCCGAAACTGAAAGAAAGCTATGGATTTGGTACTTCATACTACGGGTTAGAGTGATACTCAGAACGCTCGCTCCGATTTTGCCAATACCAGTGCAAGGCTGATCCGTTTTCTCTTCAGCTTCAAATGGATGCAGTCACCAAAGTTGCGGCCGCCATCACCATCCAACATCCAATGTCGGAACCAAATTTAGGAAAAAAAGACGTCGGGAAACCGGGTATGTGGGACCCCCCGGGCCGCGCCGGAGGATGGCACCGTGGGGCGGGACGAACGGGGCGGGGCGGGGGGTGTTGAAGACTAAAAGAGGTCGGGTCGGGGTCTGGGCGGCCTTGCCAACGACCAACGGCCAACGGGTCTCGGGTCTCGGTACATGCGGCCTTCATCATGTACTACTTGCCATCAGCCTCATTTTTCTTCCCCCCTCCCCCCTCAGTTACTCGGGTGTATCCTTTGCAGGTTTGTTGAAGTCCATGGGGGGTAAGCCGCGTTTCGTCGACCTTGTTGAGGGTGTGTTGTTTGGTTCTGGGGTTTCCTTTAGTGAGAGGGCCCGACTTACGATACCCTACCTACCTAGGCATCTACTCACCCTTCGCGATGTAGGTTATTTCGTTGACCTTGACTTATGAGGAAGTAGAAGAAGATGCCGGCTATTGGAGACGAAGGGCTGTCCATTTTGGTCCGAGAACCAGGTTACAGCGTGTTGGAAACAAAACCCAAGGATTGATAGGATGAGACATCTAACACGTTCAATATGAAAGCTCAGAATTTGATCATGACCATGAAGTGTATATCCCTTTTTTACATTTTCCACATCCCACTGTTCGCCCATGTGATGATAAATATGCAAAGAGTGAGATGCGATGGCTCTGTGTCACCACCAACATTACCACTAGCAACGCATCCCAAAACGGAAACTTGGCCCGTCTACGGCATTAATTCTCCCGGTTGTCCATTAGATAAATCCCATAGAATGCTATTGTTTTGTGATTCTTCTACTTCAACTTCCGTCGGCCCGCGCCCGATGTTGGAAGGAGGTCAACGTAGGAACAGCCAACAATACAGATCATGGATTGGCTGGCTCACCATCAATATCCTTCCTGTTAACCAGCCGCTGAATGCTCACGAGAAGGAGAGTCTACACACAATGCTTCCGTTCATCGCCTCCCGGGATGGGCCTTCATCAGTAGAGGGCGAATACTACACAACCTCAGACCATCGGCCCCATATCCTAACCGTTGGGAGAACAATCACGTCACCGGGAAACATTGTCAATCTTGAACAGTCTCATTGCATACCCAAACCGCGCTATCAAAACCAACGAGTACGCCCCCCCTTTCCGCCCAAAACCTGTATCAAAACGCCTTACCACCGTACTTACATGCCTCAGCCAGTCCCATCTTAGGGACAACCGTCTCCATGTGAACCCCTCCGTCTACACCCCCAAGACCTTAACCCCCATCTCCAAATCCATAGGATCATCAGCCCTCAAAGCCTTGCCACCCCAAACAACAGTCCCCCGCCCATCAACAGCAAACGCCCCAGCAGTCTGCCACTTATTCCCCATAACGGTGCTCGCCCCTCCCTCCCCGTCCTCCCCACCGCTAATGCTCACAGCTGAAGCACCGCTCATCCCCGTGCCCCGTCTCTCCATCGGCGGGGGCTGCTTCCTCGAATTCGCAGCAGCAAAAGCAGCATTTTCAGCAGAAGCACCGCCCGTCCTCTGAATCGCCCCGGCCACCTTCTCCCCCAACCACCCTTTCTCCTTCCACCCCTGGACCTGGCTCGTTGGGTTGAAGACGTACCACACGTTGCCCAGGCCCAGGCCCCAGGCGGCGTAGATGGCGCGGTCCTCGTCGACGACGATTTGTACGTTCCAGGCGCCGCCGAGCATGTCGATCCACTTGTTGGTCGCGGCCTGGGAGGAGTGGGAGACGGCTATGCAGGTCAGGGTGCGGGCGTGCTTGTTGGCCAGGTCCCGTAGAGCAAGGAAGGTCTTTTGGGCGACTGTGTAGGAACAGACAGATGTTAGTCACGATGAGGCTTGCTGAAGAGGAAGTGTTGTTTGTGCTACATCACGTAATACTTGGAAGGTAAGGGGGAAGGGAGACAACGAGATCAACAAACGTACAAGCACAACCAACGCAGCGTAAAAAGACGACGAGGACGGGGCGGCCACGGCCAAACTCGAGCTGCCTATCGCGGTCCAGCGGAGCGAGTTCACCAATCTTCGGGACCTCGCCGATGGGGACCGGCGGGGGCGGCGGGGAGAACCACGGCGCGACGGTGATGGGCAGCGACTTCATCGACATCCACGCCGGCCAGGCCCCCGCGTTCCCGTCCGCCGCGTCGTCGTCGAGGCCCGCGTTGGACCCCTTCTTGCTGCTCTTCGCGTCTGTCGAACCGCCGCCGACGCCGCTAAAGTCGAAGCTCTTGCTGTTCAGGCCCACCTTCCTCAGGGCGATCTTGGTTGTCAAGCTCGACAGCATGGTGATGGTCTTTTCTTTTGATATGTATGTATGTGTATGGGTGGGTGGGTGCGCGCGCTGAGTGTGGGTAACAGCAATGCAATCGATAGTATGTATCTCTGTTTCCAAGACTAAAGACGTCTCAGGCAAAGCAACGACTTCTGCGGGAAATGGCTCGCAGGAACAGGCGGTGCGGGAAAAGAAGCAATAAGCAGGCAAGGATCAACTGGGTTGAGACGGCGTGCAGATGTAATGCAAATGCAAGATTGACTTTACGTAGATGGCAGAGAGAGAGGCAATGAGAAGAAGGAAAGGAAGAGGATAGAAACATGACCGGCATGCGCAAGGCAGCGGGCGGCATTCCCAAGAGACCACCTTTGAGAAACTGGTAGGAGGGGAACGGCGAGAAGCTCTGAGGAGCTTTCCTGAAACTTTCGATACAGGACGCGTCGCATGTTTGGTTAGCGAGCGCCCTGAGCTCCTGGTCGAACCACGAAGAGAACCACGTCGCGAGGCTGAAGCCGTCTATCGGCTTGGCTTGACCTGACCTTTGTAGAACCCCTGATTGGGAGGAGATTACTCTCCGATGGTTTTCATCGTTGCATTGGGGACTTGGACGGTTGATCTTCAGCCTGGTGTTTTCCCAGGGTTGCAGAAGACCGGTCCCTCTGATTTTCCGCGCCCTGTGCCTCTCCCGAGGAGAGAAACAAGAGACTCGAAAAGAATAGAAATTTGTTTCGCTTCTACTTAAAGATGCGGAAGCTTGCCTTGAAATGGACGAAGGAGATTTCAGACCGAGAGACCGTTGGTTCTGACTCGCCGGATTTCGGAGAGCCTTTCCAGGGAATCTTAGGGAACGAGTTCACTGGCCTTTGTTTCTTCCTGCCATTCCTTGGGGCGGGCTGGATGCCCCAAATCGAGCCAAACTTTCATAACCCAAAAGAGAGACCAAATATGGCTGAGTCTTGAAGAGTCTGCGATCCGAGGTCCGAGGGGGTGCCGACCTTGCTGGAACGCGCGCCCGCATTCCTGGATGGCCAATCCCCGTCGAAACATTTGTATATTAATCGAGGCACGACTCACTTGAACCGCTCGATACAGCTCACCGAACTCTAAATGACGATAGCGACGTCCTGACTCCCTGCAAATTGACCGTTTAGCGATAGCCTAGCCACTCGCGAGTGAATTGATAGTAGCCCAACGGCCGTGGAGGAATTTGGATGGAGTCTTGCGGAGACAGTGCCATTGACACTACAGCCATCGAAGGTGTCATGGAGCTTTTTGATCACCGGCTTGCCACAGTTCGACTGACCGGGGAGAGTCTCTGAAAGAGACAGGAACTAACAGTTGAGACATGGTGCCGTCCAGCTGTAATGGTCCGCTTGAACAGCAGGGAGGTTGCATGGAGGTTTAAAGTGAATGTCATCGCTTTACCGGACCTGAGGTGGACTCGTCGCAACCACGAACGCGCCGTCTCTTAAACTTCGATATTATCATATAACTTGACGGTGGTCGCTTCATTTGCAGCATCAAAGTCATCGAAAGACCGCCGGCAAGCTGAAGCCGAAAGAAATGTGCCAAGATCCGGAGAAGCCCAATGTTTGGGTGAATCGGAGCTTTTGGAACTTGCCCCGTTCGACAAGGAGAATTCGGTCCAAACAGCAGATTGGTGGAACTGACGTCGATCTGCGCACCCCTAGATTCAAGGAAAGCGGCGGGAGGAATGTGGGGAGCGGGAAGCGTTCACGGATCGTCTTCCGCCGTACGATTCGATTGCGGACGTATCGTAAAGACAGTTGAGTTGGCGGGAGGTCTCAGTTGACAAACCTTGTATACAGCGGCATGGCGGTGCGGGTGGCTGAGAGTCTAGACTGTTGCAGGTTTCTCCCGAGTGCTAGGAATATTCATCTTTGCGCGGTCTGGAAGCCGTCTGTCCCTCGTAGGAAACGTTCTGGCCGACGCTACGTAAAACGTGTTCGTTCTCTGATGTCTGTCTCTTTGCTTCGGGAGACTTGGATGAACGTGGACAACTGCCTCTGGCTCGTGTTGCCGGGTAGGGAAAGGTGGGAAACCCCAACTCGGAGCTGGCAGTCCGAGCCGGACTGCCGATGCTATTCTCGAAAAGCGACCAAAGATGGCACTTGCGGTTACCAGGTCAGCTCCGCACAATACTGCGTAGAAGCCCACTGGTAGAATACGTATGTCTCCTGCGCCCCGCGGTGGGAGCCATCCGACGGAGGGTTGCAATGCATCTGGGAACGAGTAGCCGCGAGTGCACCTCTGCTTCTCATCACACAGGTCCCGCTCGGTCGGGCGCCTGCAGAACACTCTCATCACTCTAGCTCATGGAGACATCCGTGTGGTCGTTGTAAGGAGGTGGGCTTGATGCGTAATGGTTGTTCCTAGGTCCTAACCAATGACGAGCGCACGTCTAGCTTATTCCGTCCCTCTCTGCGACTCAACTAAAGTGGTGGTTTGAGCAGCCATAGGCTGCATCAATGCGTGCATTGAATACCGTTCGAGTCGAAGCAATGACGTCGGTGATGGCGACCGGTGAGGTACGCTCGTGAGATGTACAGCAGCCACGTTGCGCAATTCAGCCGCAAAGTTTGGTCAGGAGTTCAGCCTGAGAAGGACCATTTGGCTCTCTCGATACGGATACATTTGTGATGTCCTGGGCTTTTTTCACCTTTCATTGTGGGGCATTGGAGTTGCGGGCAAGTGCTTAATTTTAAGTTCTAGTTGAAAACGGGAGAATTATCAAGTAGCCTTAGCAAGTTAGTAGAGTAAGACATTAGCGCAAAGAAATAACGACGTGACAACAAGTAGAATGTTCCATAATAGCAACGTTCGACTCGTGGATGTAATTGTCGAACAGGAAGTCTCGACCAAGAGGTCTTCGTTAACTGTTTGCAGTTACAATCGAGGTAAGACAGGGCCCCCATCTCAGGTCATTAGCAGTGGCGGTGGTATACAATGTCCGATTGACACCTTAGTTGGCGATGCCTTGTGCTGGTTGGATACCAAGTGAGCTGCCACAGTCTCTTGTACGTAAAAATGTGTATGACTTGAGAATCTGAACGATAGATCGGCTGGAAGCAGTTGCGATGCATTGAGAGAAGGTCATTGTCTTAGTTCAGGCGGGAAGACTGGACGAGGACAAGTAATCCGGCCGCCAAGCTTCGACCGCTTCTCGATCTAGCATCTCTCAGAGACATTTCGTCCTAGTTGTTCGTCTGTTCACGGATTATGGCCGCTTTCCAGCCCTTCTCTAACCTGGAGCCACATGGCTACGGATGTGTATAAGTGGCTTGCCAGCCAGCCGCAAAGCTAAAGGGCCGTCCCGACCAATACACAACGGAGGAAGTAACATTGTAGGGGGCCTACTACTTCGAATAGAATGAGGTTAACGTCAGTTCGGGTCTATGGATGTCCTGGGTTACTTCTGGCTGTGATTGATTCTCGTGATGCCAAGTGTTGTGATGCGCGGGCGCGGCGATACTCTGGCTTGCTAGTTCGAAGCTGAGTGAATGTCTCACCTCTGTTAGCCCATCACCGGAGAATTAGAGCACCTCGTTGAAGCGACAAAGTGCCTAGGTGAGCGCGTGAACATTGCCACGTCTCAAGGTCTTGATCCGTGATCTCTGGATTGGGCAGTATACTCGAAGGGGGAGGGAGGTTTGCTAGGCGCCGTGACGGAGCAATGTGACGACCTTCTCAGAGGGTTTGAGTCGCTATGCTAAATCGCCAAGGAGGCGATGCAGACGAGCGAATAGCTGATGGACGGCTCGACAGGGAGGGGCACTCGAGCGTATTTCCGAAGTCTTAGTCACTGGGGGATTCGGTCGGAGGAGGGCCGAATCCTTCTTCAGCTGAGGAAAGCCAAGTGTCTGCCCCAAAAAGGTGCTGTTGTTGCTTGTGCTCTCCTGTGCCACCTCAGGTGTCAGCGCTGACGCGAGTTCTGACGTTCCTGGTGCGGTTTTGGTGTTCCGGGCGGCGGCGTCGGTATTGTAAGACCGCCTGAATTGACCGACTCGCTAGAAAGAAATACTGGAGGAACCGTGTGGTGTTATGGCGTGGTCTGGCGGGGAAGCTTCGGCGTATGACTGGATCGGCGAACGGGTATCGGAAAGGACGAGGCTCCCTCATACCGGATCTTGGGGCTTAGAGTAGTGATGACAGGCCATGGAGGATGGGCGAGACGCACGGAGAAGGGGTCGACCGGGGAGAGGGAGGGTCCGAGACGAATTGGATCAGGAGCGACTAGAGAAAGACGAGAAAGCGGTCGAGGAAGTGGAAGACGAGGTAAGTTGCGGAGACCGGTAACGCGAAAACACGACCGGGCTTTGGGAAGCGCGTTGGTGATTCTGATCCATTGTTGGCTCGACTTTGGACGGTTTGGGGCCCATGGCATCGGGGGGTCGTCGAAATAGGTTGCCGGACAGGCCTCTAGTAGGCTCCCCGAGTCTTGACAAGCCTTCGAGTTGTCTGCAGGCTGTGGCGGCAGACGCTGCTGTGTCTCTTGAAGCCAGGATGCGTACGGAGAGACCCCACTAGCTGCTGGGTTCCTAGAAAGATATTCAGGTGGCCATAGTATCGGGACCCTGATAATTTTAAGGTGGTGGAAATAGATGATGCCGGCAGGGGAGGCGGGAGCAATGGGAAATGGAAATATCCGTTAGGAAATAAAATAAGAGGGAGTGAACAAGCGACAGGACGCGAGACAAGACAAGATGAACGACTACACGAGGCGGGACCAAAAAAAAGGGAGGTGCACGCCGTCACGCCTGACGTTCGGAAATCAAGCGAGCGTCTAGAATGTGGATTTGTTTTCTCCGTTTGTTGATACGAAGTTCAAGCAGGTAATATTGCGTACCTAACTACATTGTTAAAAATGGATGGTGTTCTTTCTGTTCGAGACATTGCCCTCATTCTTCACCATGTCTGGGCAAGCACGTCCAAGTTGGAAGGCGCGGTCGCGGTCGAAACGTGCATGGCAGGGCAAGGGGAGGGGAGGGGAGGTGCAGGCTTCCAGGCTTGCAGCGCAGGCGCAGGCGCAGGAGCAGCTGCAGCGCAGGCAAGCAGGTACGGTACGGAGTAAGGTAGGTAGCAAGTACGGATACCTGGGCAAGCGGGCAAGCACATGCTCCGGTCCCAGAAAGTTCCTTCCCCCTTCCACGGGGAGGCAGGGGACATGAGGAAGGCAGGGCCCCATTCCACATCCACGTTCCCAAATGACTTTGCCAAATCCCTCACATTGGAATATTGGCTTGAGTGCTTCTAAGCGGGGCTTTGCTTGTCTGCACGCTTACTAAGATAAGATACATTGGGGCACATCTGTCTTCGGACCATCATCGAGGTACCGACCTTAGTAAGGTGGCAGGTGGGACACAGATGGAAGGGAGATATTCAATGGGAGTAAAGAAACTACGACTACAGTATCTTATGTCATAGACCAGAAATCAATCCAGTGTGAGGGCGAATTCCCCCACTACGGGAGACAGCTGCCGAGCCACAGAGAGCACACGCATAAATGCTACTTTCTGCCAGGCTTCAGAACTCCAGCTTTCTTGCCTCGGTTTGCGGACCACAAATAATTACATAGTGCTGGATAGCAGGGAGGAGTGTCCAATCTAACACGGCACAACACGACACGACAGACACACACATTTACACACGCATACCCAATATCCGCATACACACGCACACGCACACACGCGCACACACTCAGAAAAGTAATTACCTAGTGCCGGCCAGAACGCCAAAATCCAAGACAAGCCACAGGTAGCCGGTTTCTGCGACGTCATATCCCAACAGAGGAAAGGCCCGTCAGGAGCCAAGCAGCAAGTGACAAGCGGTGGTCGGAGGGGTGTGTGGCGCCTGTCTAACCCCTTAACCCCTGTCTGTAGCCCGTTTTACACTACGACGTTGGTACGGACTCGCGGAGCGGCAGCTGCAAGTACTTTGCCCATCTTGGGGGCTAGGTACGCGGTACCTACGCAGTAAGGTGCCTAGGTAATCTGGGTCTGGAGTCTGGAGTCTGGCCGCCAACTACCTGCCTAACTACCTGTACTCCGTACCATACCGACGCATCCCACACGCCGAGTGAGCAAGCAATGGGAAGTAATTTCAAGGCGCCATATCCGTCCGTAGGTACCTTGGGAAAGCACGGTAGGTGCTGGGCAGAAAGTCGTGGGCGGATAATGCAAGTGACAATGCGAGGGTGGGAATGGAGAGTCAAGCGGCCAGCCCTGACTTCCGCGAGGCCGCGAGGACCGCGAAATGACCCCTCCCCTATTGAATCCTCAGTGTCTCTCTCCCGTCTCTCTCTTCATGGGGGTCTCTTTCCCGCATGTGCATTCATTCTCCTCCACCAAAAATGTACTTGAGCTGGTGCTCTTGCGAACTGCCCGCGCGCTCCGTGCACGCACTGTGGGTCGAACATGGTACAACCCGTGGTCGTAGCTTTTCATCTTCCGCAGTAAAGGGATGCGACCAAAGTGACCCCCCTCGAGCACTCCTTACTCGGGTCGGTAATGTAACTCCCATGTTATCAAGATTGCCTACCAATCCGTACCAGATATCGTAAGGTAGAGAAGGGGAAAAGGGAAGGCGGCCTAACGACTAGTGAGTGAACCCCTCAAGGTGTCTACAGAGTAAGTAAGGTAGCTGTAGCTGCAACTGATCTGACATTGAGAAGTATCTACCTAGGTATCTTACCTTGTCCCTGGCCTTGACCAGTACCATGGCCATGTCGACTGAATGAGGGAATGACTGACGGAAGAGAAGGATCTAGAGTCGGCAATTCGAAGCACAGGGAAGAGGCAACTCCGTGAAGCAATCCAAGAACCAACTGCCTGGTTCTCATTGCCTCCAATAGCCGTTGCTGCGTCATGACATGGCTTTGGCGAGGAAGGAAGGTGCAAGATATGATGCCGTGCTTTCCTTCCCTTCATGTCCTCGACTAAGGCAGTTCTCATGTCTGAGGTGGTACGCTCGTCAAGGCAAGGTACCTTAGGCACTGTGGTACCTTGGCGTGCCTGAGGAGGTACCGAAGTATCCAACATCCGATGTTTTTGATCTCTTGACCTTACGCAGTAGGTATTCCAACAGACAGGCAATTCTATTCTGCCTCGCAGCAAGTTGGAGGTGACCGGTCCGACTTGGTACTGCTCACTGGGTATGCGACCATATTCCTACTAAAAAATTATGGTTGGACCGGCAATCATTGTTCGTCCAGTTACTCCGGCGGGTTGGCTATTGTTGGTGATGCTGATGTGATGGGATGTTCAACTTGTCAAGTGCTGCTGCTGCCCTGCCACGCTTTATTTAATGTTCCCCTCCTCTTAAAGTGCACCGGGGCCACACCAGACGAGACCACTAAGCCAAACCAGCAATCAGATGGAACTGTCGCAGGAATTGTGCCGCCAAACCACCACAGACAGGCACAGTGACCACACATGTCTGCACCAGAACTACCCGCCGCACACCACGCACACCACGCACCGTGCCTCGCCGAATTTCAGCATCACTTCACTTCGCATTGTCCAACTCTCCTCCTCGTTGAAGTCATTGAACGCTGAACTGGACCTTGCAGAGTCTGGGAAGAAGAACCGGGACTGCAACTGCGACTGAAGTGGAACCAGCAGGACCGGGACCGAGACTGACTCTGATGCAGTCCTCAGTGAACTGCGGCCTCACTCACTCATACCTTACCTTGCTCTTACTCACTGCCCGCTCCCTGATTCTGAAGAGGTACCTCTGCTTCTCGCTCAGCTTACTGTAGAAGCGCTCCTCCCATTGCACAGTGTGTGCGATTCTGAATTCGCTGCGGCACACATCTGCGGATATACGCGCACACATACTCCGGCTTCCTCTCCCCTCGCTGTACTCGCAGACGAGTGAGTCCTCGACACCACCACGCTCTCACTCGACTGGCTCTCGATTCATAAGGTACGGAAACATGGACCTGCCCCTACCTTACCTTTACCTGACCTCGCCTTACCTTGCCTTGCCTTACCTTACTTTCCCGACATTGGCCTTGCCGCTTCAGGAACCTCATCTCACCCTGCTCTCCTCAATCATCGCCCAGCCAGCGGCAAGGTACCTTCTCACTTACCTAAGAAAAGTACCCCCCAAACACACCCAGTGCCGCACTCTGATTTTCGCGTAAAGAGTACTTGCACCACTCGCTGCTAAGGTACCCTCTCCCCACCCCCGGTACCTTCCCTGGACTGAGGTACCTTCCCTTCCTTGCACCCCCAAACGAAACGCTCCCCTTCACACTTTCCTTCGCTCTTGCTCTTCCGGGACATCATTCAATTCTCTCACTCCTCTGGGAATTGTCCTTCTTGTCTCTATCCTCCTTTACCTCACCGTCTCCTGTCTGTTGCTGGCTATTTTGCTCCTTTGTTGCTTATCAGATTCACAGACCTTCAACATCACAATTCCTCGCAGAATCCCGTGGCAGCAACTACGCAGTGCGCACCACCCCCTTAGACCCTTCCTCCCCCCAGCGTTATTTCGCGGTCCACCGCCCGAGGGCCCCCCGAGTCCTGTCGCTTTTGGGCCAACGTCCCCGATCTAAACTCCACACCCTTTCCTTTCGCCTCCTACCGTCGACGACATTCTCTCTCTTCCCCCCAAGAGCACCACCTCCACGACACGACCACACGCAGAGAGGAGTGTGCTCTCTACCTCAGCAACCCCTCCTTGCACCGACTACACCAGACCGAGTCTGCGAAACTTCATGAATACTTTCGGCTCGTTCGCGTTCCTCTAGCAGCCCTTTACTTGCCTTAGCAGCGGCTATCACAAAAACCCCGACCCTCTTTCCCTCCCAAATTCCCTCTCCGTCTACGTCAAAGACTCAATTTTTGGGGGAAAAAAAGAAGGAGACTCGACCACTCTGAACAGCGCTCGCCTCCCACTCGACCGCGCCCAATTCAGCCCTTATACTACCCTCTCGATACCCTCGATACCCTCTGCATACTCGGCTCTGCTCTACCCGCGACGAACAGGCTCCTGCTGCCAGATCTTTAACGATCTCCCTCTCTCGTCGCCCTGCGCTCGCGCCCGACTCATTCCGCTCGCCCTCGTCACGGAAGCTGAGCCAGGACTCGCTCCATGGAAAGTCGAGCTGCCACAACTGAATCCAAGCATACATATCCAACGTCTCCTTGGATCCAAGCCCCAACGATATCATCGTCTACTTCGGGCTCCTACTTCGGTGACGCTTCCTCTCGCGTTCCGGCCCAGCTAGACTTCTGGCCCTTGCTCTTTCCGCAGCAAGCCTCAGTCTACCAAGCGCAGTTGCTACATTACACTAATCTCGTCTCACCGGGACGAGGAGGCGGCTTGCACCAACCTCAAGCGCTTCCTCAGGCGACGGTGGCTACCCCTCAGATCCAGGCGGCCCCTCGGTCCAGATCATCCTCCAAGGTGTCAAACAAGGAAATCTCCTCAACCAAGTGTTCCCAAGGAGGCCATGGGAATAGAGCCGTGCAGACTAAAGACAAAGGCGATCGCGCTGTCATAACAGGCAAGGACGCTCCGCCCAAGATGCAGCAGCCATCGCAGCAACAACCGGAGCTTTCACATCCACTCCCTGCACGCCCTGCAGCCAGGACCGGCAATGGACAGTCTCATTCCAACTCAATGCCCTCGACTCCCCAACAACATGCTAGAAACTTCTCGTTCGAGTCGCGGGAACCTTCGCCAACCGCCACAAACAATCACTCTCCTCGCTCTGCCTACTCAGAGACCAACAGCAACCTTCCCTCATTACGACCCCTCCCTCCCCGGCTTGGCGGCTGCAAATATGAGACTTCTCAGATCAACTCGAAGAGGCGTATGCCCTACAGCATAGGAAGCGACAAGCTGGATAAGACCAGCCTCGACAAGATCAAGAGCAAGTTGTCGGATGATGTGGAGACGAAGCTGACCACAGATATGCGGGAGTTGTACGACAGGTTACGACCGACTGACAAAGTTGAAGAAAACCGTCAAAAGCTTGTCGTCAAGCTGGAGAAGATGTTCAACGAGGAATGGCCTGGAAATGACATTCGCGTGCACCTCTTTGGCTCCTCAGGCAACTTGCTTTGCTCGGACGACGCTGATGGTTCGTGGGCTCTCTTGACACTGGACTGGTGCTTGGGGATGCAGTGCTAACTGTCTCCATAGTTGATATCTGCATTACAACGTCTTGGAAGGACTTGGAATATGTCTGCATGATTGCAGCATTGCTTGCGAAGAGTACGTAAACCGCTTTTTGCACAGGAATCCAACAACAAGACTGCTGACACGAACCACGACAGAGGGCATGGAAAAGGTCGTCTGCATCTCAGGCGCCAAAGTTCCCATCGTCAAAATTTGGGACCCCGAGCTCGGCCTCGCTTGCGACATGAATGTGAACAATACTCTGGCGTTGGAGAACACGAGAATGGTCCGAACATACGTCGAGATCGATCCTCGAGTGCGGCCCCTGGCCATGGTCATCAAGTACTGGACACGGCAGAGGATTGTAAACGATGCTGGTATGGGTTGACGTACCCCCTTGACTCTTCGCACATTTTACTGATCGGAATAGCGTTTGGTGGCACCCTCAGTTCTTACACCTGGATCTGCCTCATCATTGGATTTCTCCAGCTTCGCGACCCGCCAGTGCTTCCCTCCCTTCACCAGCGTCAGCATCAGCGGCTCCCTAAGAATGGCGGGCCCGAGAGCGCATTCGCTGATGACTTGGAAAAGCTGAGCGGATTCGGCGCAAAGAATGAGGCGTCTTTGGGTGAGCTCTTGTTCCAGTTCTTCCGCTTCTACGCACACGAGTTCGACTACGATAAGTACGTTATATCGATTCGTCTTGGACGGAAGGCAACGCGAATGGAAAAGGGATGGCACATTGGCATAAATAACCATTTGTGTGTGGAGGAGCCATTCAACACCGCTCGCAACCTGGGCAACACTGCGGATGAGTACTCGTTCCGTGGACTTCATCTGGAGTTACGACGAGCGTTTGACCTCATCTCGGAAGGGAAACTGGGTGAATGCTGCGAACAATACGTCTACCCCAAAGAAGAGACGCCGGTGTTCCAGCGCCCTCCAAATACTTCGAGGCCGGTCATGATCCGCAGTTCTTCTCAGCAGCACTCCGGTAGGGGCCGTGGAAACTTCCGTGGAGGCCGACACTCGAACAACTTCCAGCGGAATACAAACTCGAGCAGGAGAGCTTCGTCCAGCGTCGCTTACGACACCAACACCATGTACATGCCCCAAGTGGCTATGACTCCCCAGGATCTTGCGTGGTACGCGCAGCAGGCACAGTCCCACCAGCAATATCCCGCGCTTGTAGGTGCAGCCATGGCCGCCCAGGTTCAGCAAGAAAATAACATTCGGTTCCAGCTCTATACTCAATCCCAGGTTTATCAGCAAGTCCAGGCCCAGATGGCCGCCCAAATGCACGCTGCTCAGAGGATGCAGGGGTCCTCTTCAGCTACGCAGCAGGGTCCAGAACGGTCCAGGACCAACTCCTTCGACAACCCGCCCCTGAGTGCTCCCATCGCTGGCCCTCAAGATTGGTACAACATGTACGGAGTACCCATGGCGGCGTATTACGGCCAGTCAAGCTTCGCTTATCCCTCTTCGCCGGCGACAGTGGCGACTAGCACGCCAGAATATCGAAGAGGCCTTCAAAGATCGTCGGCAACAACAGAGTCGGGCGCCTCGACTTCCGGAAGCTCACTAAGGTCGCAGTCACAGCCTGCCTCCCGCTCTGCTCCTACAGCACAGCACAACCAGGCTTATACAGGAACCAGCGCGTCGGTTAATACCAATTCAAATCCCACTCGGCAAGTGAACGGAATCCCGGTCTCGAACGGCGTTCCAGGCGACGCCGAGTACGACGAAGCCTCCCAGGTTCCAGCGAGCGATTCACCTGCCTCTGACGAAGGAGCTTATTTGGGTTACTACGTTTCAGATGCCTCCAGTCCGGCGCACTCCCAAGTAGCGCCCAACGCCATAGCCTTTGCGGACACGACCCAGCCAGCCCAGGGACGGCGTAGGTTGTCAACCGAGGTTCCGCAGACTATCCTGGACCGCAGAATGCGAAGGACATCTCGTTCACCGTCTCCCCTTGGCCATGCCCGGGCGTTCTCTAGCGGAGGTAGCTCGGTAGCATCCGCTCCGGTGGTTGCGTCTGGCAGTACAAACGGTCCTCGAGCAGCCTCGCGGCCTTTGATAGTCAACGGCACTGGATCATCTCTTCGCACGAGTTCGACGCCATCACAACGTCATAACCCTGCCGTGGTTTCAACGGAATCAAACCCAACTGACGATCAAGGCCGCTCGTCTCAGGAAAACACGCTGCAAGTTCAGGGTCTCGGCATCAGCGGTTACAACTCAGATCAGTTGGATGGCCAGGCTTTTCCAAGGTCTGAATCAGTTCAAATTCCCGTGTCTGAGCGGACTCCGGTGATTGTCAACGGTACTACCACGCCATCGTCGGCCACCAATGCGACTGCCTCGGCCTCACCGGCTTCTGTTTCTGCACCCCAGCAGTCTGCGTCCCAGGCGATCGACGACGCTTCATTCCGTGACAGGATTGCACTTATGTCGATGAATCAGTATGCTTGGTCACCGCAAGCTCAAGTGCAATCGCAGCCATATCCAGATATCGCAAATGGCACGCAGCCATCCCTTCGCCAGAGAGCGCTATCCAGACAGCAAAGTGGAGTAATAGCGCCACTTGATCTCGCAACTCGAGAAAATAGGATGAATGGCCACCAGTTGAGCATTGACGCACAGCACTTGTCGCCAATCAATGAGACCAGATCTCCTTCACCGACAGTTGTGAGAAAGAATGACTTTGCATCGAGAGTTGATCAGCTTCCGTCAGCTTCCCAAAGCTCGGCACCCAAGGCTCACGCCGAGCCTTCTGGCTCAGGACACAGACCGAACGACAGCAAGGGCTCGGTTGGAAAGGAATCCAAGCAAGGGCATGCATCTACTCATTCGCCGAAGCGATCCTCGACGGCCAACCAGCGCTCATCCCAAGCGACAGCACAGTCTCAGTCGCAGTCACACAGCTCCGGTCAGGCTCAGGTCCAATCCCCAAGGGTCAATGGCGTTCGAGAGAATGGCCACACACGCAGTGCCAAAAGCGAAAGCCACGGCCCTGAGAGCTCATGGCAGAAGGCCACAAAGGGCCGCAAAAAGGGTGCTGACACGAAGAACCACGGCGGATCTGCCTCTAGCGAGCAGCCACCCAAGCACGACGCAGACCGAAAGGGCGGCTAAGGGCATGAGAAACACGTCGCATTTGCACACGACTGCGGTTTTCACTGCACGGCAGAAAGCTACTCGTGCTTTCTTGGATAGGGCACAGGCAAGACGAGTGGTCTCTGCAGAAACAGATGGCTATCCTATTGCAAACTTTGGCAATGCATAAGTATTGGACACTCTGCTTCTGGATTAGAGCAATGAGTTTGGTCATTAGTCGTAGGAGACACTCTGCAATGCCCTCGCGGCCTAGAGGTGGTGAGCGGGGCCTCGGGAATCGAGTCAGTACGGCGACGAACACCGTTCACCAGGTAGACTTATAGTGGTCAAGTCCTGTTCGATGGTGGCCACCACAACTGGCAAAAGCAAACAAACATCAGATCAGCGAATGGGCACGAGAATCTGCAGACAGACAGCAACACATTGATGAATTGCGAGGGGAGGAATGCCAGTTCAGCGAGACGGTATTGGCTCAAGCATGGAAATTGGAGAGAGCATTGCTATGCCTCCATTGTCTTTTTTTTTTTTCGTTCGCCCCTATCGAGGTCTCTCAAAAGGGGGAACACTGTTGCGTTATATTGGGCGGCAGGGTTTATCATTTGTCTCATTGCATCTGCAGCAACGGTCTTCGAAATGGGTCACGGTTAGGCATGCGTCATCAAGTTTCTTTTTGTCAACAAAGTCATACCATGGGGGATAGGGTACATGGAGAGGAAGCAAGACGGTGTGTGGATGATAACGGAACAAGGGCTGTATTTAGGACGGCTTCGATTGTCATGAAATACCCGGCGGGGAATGGTCGGGCATCTGTCTCTAAAGAGAGATGACAGAGGAAGCCAGCATGACCGCATCAAAGGAGTGGAAAAAAGACATCAATGATCAGTGTCAATGTAAGCAGATAGACGGGAAGCGTTAAAAAAAAAAAGGCCATTATTTCATAGCACTTTGCAGGAGTACGTGCGGGCGACGTTCCTTGATGTGAAGATCAGGCCGTCAGTCAGTCAGTCAGTCAGTCTCAGGGATGATTGCAAGTGATGAATTTGGTCTGACTCTTTACAGCCATTTTGAGATGCCATTTGAAGCCATCGCCATCTGCGGTGTTGTAAGGTAACTTGTGTAACCCAGGATAGGGGTCTCGGAAAGCGACGCAAGATTACGTCATCGGGATGCAGAAGTTTGAACCCCGCAATCAGCCTTATTTCAGGTGGCCGGTGCTCTCCAAAGATCCCCAGAGCAAGCCGCAATGACAATGCCACCGCGGTCCCTGCTTGGCAAACCGCAAAAGGCAAAATTCCCAACGTGGCCTGGCTGGCCGGCTGGCCCCCAAAACGTCCTCGTATTTTGCCCCCTCCTAAGGTGAGGTCTCCCTTTTCCCCCAAGGATGCAGCTGCTTATTTCCCTCCCCCAGGCAGAAGCCCATTCATCTGTGGCCCCATGAAACGCAGTCTGAAGACCGTCCCGTTTCGCTGCCATTTTGATTGTTTCTGAGAACCGGAAAGCAGTCCATCCCGTGTCTGTCTCCCAAGTATACGGATACTATACTACTTACACTGAGCGACAACATTCACCGTTAGACTGCGAGTTCCTCTGATTCCGTCATCCCCCTCACCAAAGGTCGCTGGATGTTTGGGAAATGAGTGATCCCTGCGTTTTCGCGCATCCTTGGTTCGGACCGCCGTCCCCTGCCCTGCTGCTGCCACATCGCATCGCATCTGGGTCGCAGCAGCTCGGGATTGAGTGATGGTTCGCCAACGCAGCCGGAGCGATGTTGCCTCGACCACGTCTCCCAAGATTAGGCGGTTGAGCAATGCGCTGCGTAAGATATCGAGCATCAGCTCGGCAAAGGACGATGGTAGTAGGTCTAGCAGTACGGTGAGTTTTTCTTGAAATCTCCACAACCCCCCCGGGGGAAAGTTCCCACATTGCTACTGCACGTTCACTTTCTCCTCCTTCTTCTACTTCCTCAACCACTAACCCACCGGCGCACTGCACCGCTCCCTCTGTGACGTTTTGCAATGGCGATGAGACGCTCGAGCTGTCGGACGCCGCTTACACTACATGAACAGAGACTTGGCGATTTTGAGTTTGGCGGCGGGGACCCAATTGACGGGGGACCTGTTTCGTCCCGTGGGTCCAGCTCCGCCGGCGGGGGCCACGGCAGCCGCAGCGGTAGCGGCACCGTGAATGAGTCGGACGTCCAACTTCGTCAGATTCAGCAGTTGACGCAACGTGTCGGCTCGACGCTCGCGAGCAAGGACGCCGACGCTGCTTTTAAAGAATACGCCAAAGTCAAGGATCATGTAGCATTGTGTCGGGCCCTGTTGCGCAACTCCACACCCTCGCCCGGGCCGCCGGGGCATGCGACCGAGGCGGGGGCGGAAGGAGGTCGGGGACCGTCACGGGAGTCGTCGCTTGAGGTGCTGCAGAGCCCTGCGTCGATATTGACTCGGTCTTCGTTTAGCGGGAGGAGTCTCTCGGAAGTAACGACCGGCCAGAGCGCAGGTTCACGTCCGATGCGTGGGATTTGCCTGTCTGCCGTCCGCGACTGGAAGGGGTGCATCGAGTCGCTGGTGGAAGCGCTCGAGCTCTCGCTGTCAGAGACGTATCGAAGTTACGAGCCCGACGCCACGCCGAGCATGGTGAAGTCGCTCTTCCGAGATAAGGCTTTTCGCGCCGCCGCGATCCAGCAGATGAGGAGGGCCAGCATCGTCAAGACGTTCTCGCCCAGCCCGGACTTTTTCCCGCTCTACGACATACGCTTCAGGAACCACGACCGGGTGAAGCAGGATCTCGTCGAGGTGACGCGGGTTCTGCAGCTGGGCGAATCGGGCGTCACGGACGAGAGGCCGGTGAAGGAGCTCGACGTCGCGCCGCGCGGGGACGCCGTTCTCGAGTTTGCGAATATCGGAGGAGCTGATACAGAGGCAGACGCGGAGGCGCTGCCCGTGCTGCGGTACCGCGTCTCGTCGTTTCTGCTGGCCGAGACGTCGCCCATCTTCGAGAGGATGTTCACCGGGCACGCGCACATCGAGGTCCACGACGACGAGGACCTGACGGACCAGCTCGCGCCGCCGCCGACGGCGTACATCTGCCCCGACGGCACCGAGGCGAAGCTCTACCGCATGCCGCAGCGCGAAGGCGACCGCGAGCAGGCGCTCACGATCCTCCTGCACGCGGCGCACATGCACAACGACCAGATCCCGCGCGAGGTGACTTTCGAACAGCTGGTCGCGATTGCGGAGGTGTGCCTGCGGTACCGGTGCACGTCGCCGCTGGAGCTGTTTGTCGAGCACCGGTGGCTGCCGCAGTGGATCCACCGGGGCAGCGAGGCGATGCCGCGGGGTTGGTTGCTGATTAGCTATGCGTTTGGGTTCCGGCAGCTGTTTACGCGCATGTCCAAGACGGTGATTTTGAATCTTGTGGACGAGGACGAGTTGGAGGGGATGCACGTGGCGTGGCCGAGGAGGATCAAGGAGAAGATTTGGGGGGTGAGGGGGGCCAAGATGGCGCAGGTTGAGGAGTGTTGCGTGAGTACGATCCGGGAGTATTTGAGGCCGCCTTTTCGTGCTGTTGAAGGTGGTGGTGGTGACGGTGCTGCTGTTCCGCCACCGGGCTCGAACTCGAGTCCGGCTGAAGTAGCATCCACGTCTACGACGAATACGGCTGCCAACCCGGCCTTGATGTTCACCAGCACGCCCAGGTGTCCCAAGGGGAGCCACAGCTGCGACGCGACGAATCTGGGTTGGCTGATGCTCGTCTACGGCGAGCTCGAGCTTCTGCCCACCATCATGAACTCGTCGGTCCTCGGGCACCTGGCAGCTGGCTCCCAGCAGCAGCAATACTCATCACCCCGCCGGAGCCTGGCGCAGCTCGTCGACTTGCTGCGGACCATTGCCAGTCCGCCGCTGGCGGTTCACAAGGGCGGGGTATGCGATCCCGCGCCGGCGTTCCGCGCGGCGGTTAATGATATCTATAACAGCGTGTCCGGGTTGACGTTGCATGATGTCAGTGGACGGGCTCACGGGTGGGGGTTGTCGCGGCACCGGTCTACGCAGCCGCAGGCTGTTTTACACAGAGGGCTGAGGAGCTTTTCTGGCGGGAAGAAGGGTGGTCTCCAGAGTGAGCAGCAGGGAGCCCAGGAGCCGCTGGAACAGGAATGGGGGCAAAAGCAGGACCAAGGGCAGGGCAGGGTCCTCGAGAGGTCTGACGCGGTACGGTTGTTGATTTTGGAGAGGTGCGTGGAGAGTGTGGAGGGCCTGCGTGCGGCGGCGCTGGTGAATCGGAGATTTTATGAGACGTTTCGGGAGAACGAGGGGGTCTTGATGGGGCGGTTCGTCGGGGACGCGAGGTTGAGGACGTTGATGAAGTTGACTTCTATGGATGTCGTCGCGGCGGGGGAGAATAAGGTGCCCAAGGGGGATGCTGATGCTATGAAGGCGGAGGCTGATGCCGTTCAAAATGTTGTCTCTAACGATGATTTAAATGGCCGGCTGGTTCGCACACATGGCGGGGATGAGAATGTGACGGATGTATTCCTGGCGGTTCCTTCGTCGCCTGGTCCTGGGCCTGGGCCTGGGGGAGGCGGCGGCGGCGGCGATGTTTCTGCGTTTGATCAGAGCTCAGAGGACGAGGGCGAGGTGTTGAGCGAGGATGAGGCGAGGCGGATATTGTGGCCGCCCGAGGTGATGGTCTCGCCTGCACGGGAGACGTCGTCTTCGCCACGGCGGCTGCAGTTACGACCTCTAGAGCCTGCGTCCGGGCCCGAGTCCGGGTCTGGGTCTGATATAATGACGGAGAGAGGGGTGATGAGGGAAAAGTTCCGGACTGGTGACGCTGCGTTTGTGGAGGAAAAGATGTTGTTGGAGGGAGAGGATAAGCATCTTCGGGATGAGCGGGATAGGAGGGTTGGGCTTTTGCCAGGGGATGGGTGACTGGCTTTCCATCATGGGCATCGGGCTAGAAGCGGAGAGATCATGGTTTGGGCATCGAGCGTGGAGTTTTATTTATCTGCTTACTGTGATAATTGAGTAGTATCCTTGAGGAAAACCATCTCAGGAAATTGCCCCTGGACGAGGCTCACGAGATGGAAAAAGACAGCTCATGCGGACGAAGAACTAGGAGGTATAACAAACTAGGACGCGACGTCGAGAGCTATGCATCCAGAGAAGCTGTTTATAGTTATATCGAATACATTAGTAAGATAGGGGTGTGTCGAAGGGTGAAGGTTGTGCCTTTAGGATGTATCTAGCCATCTGCCACCGAAGACTCGGGCCTACGAGGACAACGGGGACAACAGGGGCAACGGGGGCAACGGGGACGACGGGGACGACGGGAACGACGGCGACTGGCAAACCTGTACTTGTGATATCATGCTAAATTCCTGGTCTTCAAGTTAGTCGGATAGAATCCCCGTGATCTACTAAGATGTCTTTCTAATTGGGGCCTACTCGGCCGGCAGCGCTGAGTCATTGGCTTTTTCATTCGGACCTGAGTGCCTTCTTACCGGATAGCTAGACGCTCGCATTCTTACTAAGGAATGGGAAGTCCACTTTCTGTAACATTGATGTGAGCTAAAACATACCCAAAGGATACGGAAGTTGAAGTGATCTGATGGTTTCCTCTTCAGATGGTCATGAGATGGCGGGCTTTGATGAAGACACCAATATGATAAGGACCTGGAATAAAGAAACACACTGGAATTCATCAAAGATTAACCTGCAAAACCTCTGCAAGCGGTACTATCCCACAACAAAAAGCAGTATAGATAAATACCCTAGGCTTATTCTTATATTTTAGAAATGCTACTTATAGTACTCCCTTTTGAAATCGCTCTCAGACGGGAGGTATCTAGGGTCGTCGTCTGACCAGCTGCTATACCGTCAAGAATAAGGTTGACCAGGGAATAAGCTCAGACGGGTGTTGCCCCTCAATCTCTGGTACCGTTCACTCCCCTCACCCTTTTTCAAAGTTTTTTTGGTTGTACCGCACTGGCAAAAGCATTTCTGGCTTTGTTTCTTTTTGAGCTTGGTGCTGTTTCCGCATTCTCACGATATCCCAGGGGCCATCGGATTTGACAAAGATGTCTCCAAAGGCGGAGATTTCGCGGACGGCGAGCGCGCCCCACTACGCAAGACAACCTAAGCTCTCAACCGGCCCCGCTTTGTCGAAGATCGTGGCGGACATAGCTCAGTTGGGAGAGCGTCAGACTGAAGTCAACTTCAATCACTTAATCTGAAGGTCGTGTGTTCAATCCACACTGGCCGCATCTTCTATTTTGTTCTGGGACAGATCGTGTTCTTTTTGACCTTTTACCATGAGTACTCGCTTCTCAAGTGGTTTTTGAACGTCAGGCGTGGTCCCAATGTGATTGAAGCCTGCCTGAGCGAGTAGCGTCGTCAGATTTTGCTTGATCAAATACTTGAGTTGAACGCCTAACTGCCTCGATGACACGCCAACTGGCCCAGCACAGATGATGGTGTTTGGGAATCATAAAAAACATTCATAAGGTATCTTTCCTATATCTAGGATACTTCAAGCTGCTCTCTCGCCTCATCAAACCCAAGTTTTTGAGCAATATTCGTGTCTCGTTTCCCATCCTCGGCCCCCCTTCTTTCCCCAAACCTCAACTAAGAGAAGCCAGACTCAGGCGTGCGGCCAGTTCCTGTTGAGAACGACACAGCTCCCGTTCGCCGACGACGCGATATCCTTATCCGTCAAGAAGACGCAGTACTTTGCCACAGCAGCCGGGTCCAGCCCCGTCTCGCCGCGCTTGTACTCGGGCATACCCGCCGTGACCTTGGCCATGCCGGCTTGGTTGACACCCTCGGCGAAGGCGTCCATGATGTTGGTGGTGTCCATGCCGCCGAGCAGCAGGGCGACCGAGTAGATGCCCTTGTCGCCGTAGAAGCCCGCCGTGTTCTTGGTGACGGCCATGACGCCGTGCTTGGACGCCGTGTAGGCGATGCCGGAAGCGAGGCCGCGGTAGCTGGCGTTGGAGCCGATATTGACAATCAGCCCTGCGGGCCCGCCGCTGCCGCTGGCGCCGCCCTGGGCGAGGAACTGGTTTACGGCGTACTTTGTCGTCAGGAAGGGACCCGTGAGGTTGATGGCGAGGACGCGGTCCCAGGTCTCCTTTGTGCAGTCGCCGGCGGGGTCGAACTTGTCCATGACGCCGGCGTTGTTGACGACGACGTCGAGGCGGCCGAAGCGTTCTACGGTGCCCTTGATGAGGGACTGGACGGAGTCTTCGGAGGTGACGTCGACGACGATGCCGTGGAGCTTGCCGGCGTAGGTGTCGCGGTATTCCGTGGTGACGGCGGCGACGCGGTCCTCGTTGATGTCGGAGATTACGACGTTGGCGCCGGCGATGAGGTAGGCTTCGGCGATGGCTTTGCCTAGGCCGCCGCCGGAGCCGGTGACGATTACGGTCGTGCCGGGCAGGCGGGTCGCCATTGTGCGTGAGATGTGTGTGATTGTGTGACGGGTGTCTGTGTGAGAGGGAGGGGCTTGGCCCGAGTGCGGATAGATTGCGGGATGAGACCTTGAAGGTTTGGTTCTGCTGGTTTGACTTTGGCAAGAGTTTTAAGCTTAAGCTTAGATAAAAATTGATAAAGTGGTGAGGTCGATTGCGTGATTGAGTCGTGAGTCGTGAGTGAGTTGTAAGTGAGAGTGAGAGTGAGTGAGGGTGTCTTAGAGGCTCTTGATTTCTAATGAGTGAGAACTCCTCCACGTGCGTCATTGAAGGTCGCCGCCGTGGGCCATTTATGTAGAGCTCTGCATCGTCAGACGGGAAGGAGGGGCTGTTGCGGGGCGATCCTTGGTGGGGGAAAGTAGAAAAGAGACGTCTCGATTGGGCGCTGACCTCGGCGCCGTTGACGTGCCCGTGGATCGCTCCAGGGCGCTTTCTCTTCTTACCCCTGGAGCTTTGAGGTGTGCCATCGTATTCGGTTTGGGACCGTACATTGTTCGTAAGACTGCATAAGAATTTAGCTTGACTTGTTTTTCTTGTCATATTCTCTTGCTTATGGTTGGCCTACCTCCCCTATCTCATGGAAGCTTCCCCGCGAAATCTTCATGGGAACCCCCCCCGCTTGCCGGTTCACTTCCACCCCACTCCCTATGGTTCAGAGGGCCCGGGTATCTGGCCTGGGATCATCCCGTGCGGCACGGGTCACTGGCCCTGACTTGCTGCATATGTCGCTGTGCTTATTGTGAGGATGAATTCTTCATTGCCATGTGCCTCTATGGGACTTTTGGTAGAATCGACGCTCAACGCAGGGTAGGTCACAGTCGCTAATGCCCCTCTCGAGCTAGGTATGGATGTCTGAGGAACCTCATTGTCTTATCGTCTGCTCTAGGCAGACAATTTCCTAAGCGATGCTCAATTCTGGTCATGGACGACGGCCTTTGGCTGCAGATCACAGCTCCGCGCTGGAGCCATGAGGTTGTAGCGCATTTGAATCATGAGTGCACGATGGTTGCAAGCCGATGCGAATACGGAGGATTGCCCCCTGTTCACATCTCGCATTCGGGTTTCCCATCACAGATTCGCGGTGTATCTGCAACTACCCGGGCCCGTCACTTTATTGATTTGTCGTTCTGGCTCCCTGCCTTCTTGATGGGACGAACGCACCCTCTGAGAGCCTTGGCAACTGATGATTGGGTGTGTTGATCTTGTTGGTGCCGATCCGGGACCGATGCAGGTAGTCACTTTGGTCAGTAAACAGGTCTTCATTATAGATGAACAGTATGGATGACTTACTGGGTGATCATGTGAGGAGATGCCAACTTGATGCCATGGTTTGGAGCGTCACTTCCGCAGAGTCTATAGGTAGTACCTCATCCGGCAGAGAGATCATAGTCAGTTCGAATTTTGAGGAGGCTAGCTGTCAGATATGCAAGTAGAAAACGTCATACACACCCGTCAGTATTGTAAAGAGATATGCAAAATGATTTCTACTTTGTGTGCTAGAGAGATGGCGAGATAGAGGCAAGGCATTCATCTCAATTTTCGAGAGTACCTACACCCTCGTCACTGTCGGTATAGATGCAGTCTTCTTCTTTTTCTTCTTCTTGTCCGTACTGTCCTCATCACCACACACATCCTCCCATTGATCGAGAGCCGCCCAAGACGAAGGAGACTGCGAGGACCTACCGAACCCAGGAATCACCTTGGAAAGACACTTACCAAAGAACCCCTTCACCTTCCCAGCCACGCTTTTTGGCTCCTTCTCAGCCGGCAAATTGAGGACACTGGCGTTCTGCCAAGGGCTCGTCGATCGGGTTTGATCCAGACCGTGCGACAGCGAGCGAGTGCCCAGACTGCTCCCTGATCGCTGGTGGCAGGGCATATCCAACCCCTTTGTGATATCTAATGAGTCCCAGTAACATACCGGGCACTGGTTGATTCTCGGCTTCTTGTCGAGGTATACTCTTTCTTGGTCTGGGCAGTATGCCTTTGCGTGTCCGAAGGTTTCTGGGAGCGTCCACGTTCTCTTGTGGCATATGGTGGGGATCTCTTCTTTGGAGATGATACCGTAGCAGGTTCTGCACTGGTCGACGATTTGTTTGATGCCGCACATGGTTTCTGTTTAGCTGGGGTAGTTATGATAAGTTGTGTGGTGCACGCTATTACGCTGCGGGTTGGTTGGTTTTAATGGTTTGAGATGTAGAGTGATATCTCAGTGAGCAAAAAAAACGGCATTATATAGACTGAAGGATGCGTACCTAAGACAAGACCATTGTTACTGAATCACTTCCATTGTTGGGTTACCACAGGTTATGAATGTTCGACTGATCTACCCATGTTCCTTTGGTTGAAAGGCCTTTGATCATCACAGCCGCTCATCTGGACAATGCAGGCAAAGACAATTGAGTGCGGAAATTTGACCCTGTATACCGACAAAGAAGTGGCCCTTTCCAACAATTTGTGGCTACAGGCAATCCAAGAGATTCCTGTTCCCCCACTCGAAGCTATCGGCGGAGTGGATGAGCAGTCTGAGATTGACCACATCCAGTAACTTCAGCTTGCCAGTTGCTGGTATCTTCTTTCAATGAGAATCGAGTTCCCTCATTCGCGAGCATTGCGGTATTTGGGATGACATCATACTAAGTACTGTGCCGAACGAATGATATCGTCCTTGATGAGTGGCGGGTAAAGGCGTACGCGACTGCGGTAAACGGACCAGACGATGAGTTGTTTTCGTGGGCAGCGGATGGACAAAAAGTATTGAGTACTCTCAGTCCTGAGTGTGCCCTTTCACTTGTTCGTCTCATCAATCATCAATGTCCTGGATTGATTCTATCGCTGGTTGTATTAGGGCGGACCTGAAATTTCAGGCGAGTGGCGCGGAATCCTCGGGCACCGCTGCCTTGTAGATACTGAGGCACCAAAAAAAGTCAAGATTTTATCAACGCGCGCTATTGTAACTTGGTATCTAGAATCCACGTGCGCATCAGGGGGGGAGAAGTAATAAAACAAAAATGCATCGCAATCGAAACTTCTCATGAACCAAGAAGCCCTATGTTGCTTTGTAGCATTTGGTGGCCAAAATGTCGTCTGCCATCGGGATGGAGGCGGTCGTCGCGGTAAATTCACCCCACAACCAGTCAAACTGAAAAACTTCAGAAGCTTTCCATCACAGGACTTCACTAACAAAAGATAACAGGCCGCAGCGGGAGCCACGTTGAGTGTAGACTTTCTCATTCATCCCATGGACACGCTCATCACGCGGATGCAATCGCCCATGTACACGACGCAGTACAAATCCGTCAACGGCGCCGTCAGCCGGACTCTCTTCCTCGGGCTGTACCAGGGGTTCGGCCCCACCATCATCACCAGCATACCGTCGTCGGCGGCCTTCTTCACGATTTACGAGGGACTCAAGGGTTACTCGCTGCGCGCCAAAGAAGAGGGCCGTTTTGCGGGCGTGCCGTTGCCTGTTTTGTACGGGGCGAGCGGCGCGGCGGCGAGTCTTGTTAGCTGTGCTATCACGAACCCTGCCGAGGTGTTGAAGCAGAATGCGCAGGTGTATCGGAGAGATTCGCCTCAGTCAATGGGAGGCGGAAGTGGTACGTCTCCGACGATGAACACGTTGAGGCGTTTCGCGAAGCAGCCGACTAAGTTGTGGGCTGGGTATACGGCGCTCGTGGCGAGTGATTTGCCTAATACCACGTTGACGTTTTGTCTCTACGAGACTCTCAAGGAACGGTTCCTCGGAGGGGAGGGGAAGGCTCAGGACAGGAGTGCGTCGCAGCAGGTTCTCGCGAGTGGGCTGTGCGCTGCTGCTGCCGGCAGCGCGTCGTCGAGTTTGTTTGTGCCAATTGATGTTGTCAAGACGAGGATGAGGCTCGCGGCCGGTGGAGAGGTGACTGGCGAGAACTCTTCGTCAAAGACGCCGAGTAGTTCTCCTCGTGCAAAGACTGGTCCTATTGCGGTGGCCAGGGGGATTGTCCTGAAAGAAGGCGTTCGAGGGTTATTTAGAGGTGCCACGGTAACGGTTTTGGCGGCGGGGTTCGGGGGTGGGTTGTATATCGGCTGTTACGAGGCCATCAAGATTTATCTGAGCTAGAAAGGCTTTCAGATTGTACACTATGTAGAACAAAAACTCACTTAGACAGCAGGGACGCAAGTCTCGTAATACCACTCTTCTCGAATCAGCATATCTAAAGGCATCCGGATCGCGCGTATCAGAAGCACCCCTGACTACAGCTCAACGAGATTAACATGATAATACTGCCAGGGTCGAGTGAGCGGCAGAAGGAAGGTGGGGTGATGTCTGGATATCAACAGCTTCCATCATCTGAATACGCACAGGAAGTTCTATATGGGTCCCCTCAATTCCACTCCTCTCACCAGCCAGGAAGCGTCCGTCTAGGTCGACGGGTCAGGACAAAATGGCTGGATGGTGGAATGGCTTATGGTCAACAATCAATTGAGAGGCCAACGAGCTACTCGACGACAGGCTCAGCGCATACGAGTATCCGAGGTCGAAGCCCAACATGAGCGCCAATTTTTCTCAGAATAAGCACCAAGAGATGTAACCACACCGGTGGTGAACTCTTTTTTTCTTTCAATCCACATCTATATTCAACACTATTGGCCTTTCAGGATCACTAGGTGAGAGCCACGATACGATATACAGAAACCTCCTCCATTAACTAACCATCTGGCTACACCTAACAATAATAAAACCGTCTGTTTTTAGGCGTCGGCAGCGGCCTGGCCACACTGGCCTGCGACAACCTTGACGTCGCCATTGACATCGCACTGGCCGTCTGCTTGGCAAGCGCCAGCACCAGTTCCGTCGGTGCAAGCCAGGCCAACAAAGTCGGCCGCCGCGTCGGCGTCCGCTGCTTGATCGGCGTTGTCGTCGGCGTTCGCATTGTCATTTGCGTTGTCCTGGCTATTGTTGTTGTTGTTGCCATTGTTCTGGTTGTTCTGGTTGTTGTTATTGTTCGCGTTGCCATTGTTGGCATCAGCCGCGGCATCGTCCGCAGCGGCGTCGTCCTGGTTGTTGTTATTGTTGTTCTGGCCGGCGTTGGCATTGCCGGCATTGGCATTGTTGTTACCGGCGTTGGCATTGTTGTTGCCGGCGTTGTTGCCGCCTCCGTTCTGGCCGGCGTTCTGACCTCTGTTGCCGCCGCCGCCTCCACGGCCAGCTCCTCCAGCACCACCGGCACCAGCAGCACCAGCGCCGGCTCCGGCACCAGCACCGGCGCCACCACCGCCGAAGCCTCCTCGGCCGCCGCCGCCTGCACCACCTACGGCACCTCTACCACCGCCGCCGCCACCACCACCACGGCCACCTCCGAAGCCGCCGCCGCCGCCACCGAATTGAGGAGCAGGTGCTGTACGGAATCCATGTCAGTCTTGCAAAGTCTCTCTTGAGAGGACGAATCGAGGAATGCTGAGCGAATGACTTACCAGTCAAGGCATTGCCTGTGAGAAGACCAATAACAAGGAGAGTGATGGTTGTGTAGCGCATCTTGAGGTATGTTCCGTTTCCCTGTAAATACCTAGGAAAGAAGGAGGAGGATTATAGGAAGGTTGAATAAAAATGGGATTGGCCGAATCGAAAAAGTGCACAGCACTGGAGTGAGGGTTACAAACAAGAAAGAGAGCACCGACTTGGATCACACAGTGACTGAAGAAGAGAAGAAAGTAGTCATGCTCAGCTCGAAGAATGGTCTCGATCCTTATACTTCCCGCCCACATGGAAGTGCCGTTCCGTCAGACGGGCCAACAAAGGTTCACCAGTCCAAGCAAGAGCGCCAATTGATACGTCCGGTAGACCAGACGGCTGGGCGTCAGACATCCGATCTTGGCCAACACTAACGACAAGCATTCCGCTACATCGGAAGTTTAGATGGCATGCCCGTCGTCCGGAAAATCTCAAACACGGGCATGGGGTTTCTTCTTCTTCTTCTTCCGCCCCTTGTTGGATGGCACCTACCTCGTCACCCCTGGCCGGGTGTGATGGAAAACCTTGAATACCTTAAAAGTACTCCGTAACAAGGCAAACAACTCAAACGAACCAATCCAGGGACACCGCGCCTCACGCGAACAGCCTTGACGGACCCCCCTTTGATGAGGCGTCTATAAGCTTCAATTCATGGCTATTTTTCTGGGCAGGAAGGGGGCGAACCCTGACCCGCCCACCGTCGGCCGGGTGTTGAACGTGCAGCGGGACATGTTTTGGAAGCCCATGTCTACCGAGCCGCCCAGGCTTCGAGATGCGGTGGGCGGGAACAAGGAGTCGAATCACGGATGCGCTGGCTCCTGAGGAGAGGCGGAAGATGGGGAGAGAGAGCTCTCTTCCCGAAGTCCTGACTTGGGAGAGAGAGCCTCACGGTTCTCTGACGTTACTTCGCTCCTTAGCCCCCCGCATTTTCCCCTGTTTCGACTGAGCTGTGACAGCTGAGCCAGAGGCGTTGCGTAGTCCGATCTACACGTAATGTGGGTGCTGCCCGGGGGCGCCTATTGTGGTTTGTCGCGGGTCTGGAAGATCTCGACTTGGCTTGTATGAAGATGCGAAAGGAATATGTCGTGCAAGCCGGGGCTGGTTAGGAAATGGTCTTGGATGACGAGTTTGCGCTCATGAACGCTTCCTCAGTGGCTTGGCGTGCAACTTTACATAAATGCCGCTGCCAGAAACCGCAGAATGACGGACAGCATATTCTATCCGCAGGTTACTTTCCCATTCGTTCAGAAGATTGTGATGCAATGCAGAAGTTCTCTTTTTATTGGTTCCGTGTCGCTGTGAGGAAAGCCCACGACGTGCCGGCAAAGAGCACGGACCAAAAGGGGACGAAGTCTAAAAAGGTCAATTTATGATCAGAGGAAACAGAAGCGACGAAAGTAAACAAAATGTATGCTAAACTTAACCACTCAAAAACTGCATTCTGTCTGCCGGACATCACAAATAAAGCGGTCCGGATGTCAAAAGAAGCAAAAATCAAAAGTAATATGCGGCCAGTGTGGATTGAACACACGACCTTCAGATTAAATGATTGAAGTTGACTTCAGTCTGACGCTCTCCCAACTGAGCTATGTCCGCCGCTATTGGGAATTTCGAGCTCGTAGGTTGTACTTAGAGCTTGACGTGGAAATCTGGAAGGAACTCCAGTGATGACGGCCCCACCACGGTTGGTGGTCCCGCAATCGAGTCGGGAAGGAACGACGCCGAATGCTCGCGTCTCACAATGCTGACCCTTTGTCTTCTGCTGAGCACGTTAGCATGAGACAATCAAGGATCAAGTTCTCTGAGAATCATAAGCTTGCCGTCGTTCCCTTTTCACGGTTGACACTAGCACCCCTAGTGAACCGTGGTGGTGGAAAGGAAGGAGCTACCGAGCCCCTCGGAAGGGGACGAGATGCCGGACCGATACTTCCAACTTGGGATCCGTCAAAGAATACCGAACCCAGGTACCTCACTTCAGGTTCCTAGATGTACCTAAGATGACACTGAAAAATGGAAGCCACGGCCGTAGTGGTCTCAATTGGAATGATTACATTATCATTTAATGACTACCTCAGGAACCAAACTCCAACGTCAAACCTCGCTCCGTTCGCCATTCTGTTTCCCCAACCAACATTAAATGATCCAACAAAGGAAAAAACCCAAGCAATAGTTCCGCCCTCCGTCCTCAAACTCCAGGTTCCCGAGATGTACCCTGTCTCTTGGTGTGTCTTATATACTACAGTGGCGTGACGGGATGCATCATTTGCTAATACTTTCCTAGAAGTCTAGATGAACCCTACCCGGAATTCATCTGCAATACCAGTCGGGGCCCTCAGTCCAAAGTCTGGCCGTCTCGCATCACCTCGCTCACGAGGCGGAGGAAGCACTGGAGGTGGACTCATCTGCTGAGCCTCTGCCTTTTCTTTCGGCGTCTGCGGTCTCTGGCTTCCGAACGTTGGGCTTGCCAACGGGCTCGGCAACGGCCAGTTCGCATCGTTCGAGGCCTCGGGAATCAAGCTGTTCGGCGTGGGCGGCTGCGGCGACTGCATGCGAGGTGACACCATTGCGAAGTTTCCGTGGTGGACGTCCCGATCATCCCAGCTAGGCGGCTGATATTGCTGCGGGTTTGACGCCTTGCGCTGAAGCTCGACGGGCGGCGGAGGCTGTCGACGGTTTGCAGGTGTGACACCGTAGTTCCGCTCGCCCTCACCTGGCGCGACCCGTCTCGAGGTCGGCGGGGGTCCAAGGTATCCCTGTGGAGGGGAAGGAAGATCGTCGCGAGATCGACCGCCGGAGTCTTTCCTCTCTCTGAGTTCTGGACCTTGTCGTTCACGGCTATCGTACTGGACATGCTCTCCGTCCCTGGTCGGAGAGACCATCTCTCGAGCATCCGAATCCTGACGCTGTCTGGCAGGGGGCCAATCGTCCAGAGGCCGGGCAGGGCTCCGCAGCGGTCCTTCATATGGCACCTGCTGCGGTCTGGGCGGCGGCAAGCCAGCGCTCCTGGGAGGTTGCGGCAGGATCTTCATTTCTGGCGGACGCGGTCGCCTGGCGCTCCTTGGCGGTGGGCTAACTGGTATAACAGGACTCAGTGGAATAATCGGGCTTTCCCGCTCTAGTGTTCGTCCTCGTTCCACCATACCAAAGTCGAGTCCAGTAGGATCATTGTCGATATCCATGGAGAAGCTCTGCCTTCTTGGGGTGGTGATAGTGAGGGTGTCCCTCTTTGCGGCAACATTCTGGATGATTGGCCTGGGATAGAAATGGTCCTCGTCGCTGGAACGTCCTGTCGACGCGGTTGGGGACGGAAGTGCGGCTGGCCGCGGCCTGTGAGCTTCACGAACAGCAGTAACTGCAGTCTTCGGTCTGAGATCTGTCCTCAATGGCGGGAGCGAACCATTGATGGATTGAGGAGGCGAAGGTAAGGCCTTGTTGGGCGACAACGGAGCTGGAGTCAGCTTGTCATCTTTCGACGACTCTGACGGGTTCAGGTTGAATTCGAACTGCCCAAGTGGGCTTCGAGGTGCGTTGGCTGCGGTCGGTGTAGGCAGAGGCGATATATTGTTCGGAGAGTGATAACCGCTTGGTGCAGCACTCGGTGCCGGGCTGAGAGCTCCATCGCTCCTAGGACCAGCACCATCACGAGCAAAGTGGACGTCGAGAGGGTTGACCCAAGCCTTGGCCCGGGCCGAGTTTGGTGTTCCTGGTCTGCTTCCTGATCCACTGACACCGGTAATGATCGGTGGAGATGCGATGTTGTTCAAGCTGGTCACAGAAGTGTTGTTCCAACGCATATTCAAATTTGCCTCGGATCCAACAGGCCGAATACCCTTGACGCCGGGTGCACCCAGATCGACTAGGGAAGATGAGCCGCCATTGAGGTACGGCGCATTCGGATGACGGAAGTTGGCGGCGAAACTCTTGTTCGACATGGCTGTGCCGGGGCGAGATCCGTTGATGAGAATGGGACGGTCCAGATCTTTTCCGAAGAATTGCCCTTGACCAAGCGTGTTTTGGTCAATCTTCTTCCATTGAGGCTTCATCTCGGCCTTCTCAGCAGGTTTCCTTCACAAAGTCAGTTTGCAGATCCACGACAGAGGGCTGGGAGCGCACTTCTTCTTATCGGCCCCGAGTTTCAGCCCGAAAAAAGACACCATGGTTGCGTTATGAAGAGGGTATCAAGAAACTACGTTGGTTAGTCGGATCGACCTTCGAAGCGAGATGGAGGGGTTGGTGAGGGGCATACAGAACGAAAGAAGGGCATAAAACAACTGTGAGCTATGCACAGAGAGTGAGAGAATGGGCCCAATCCCGGCAATGGACGTCCAGGTCAACAATCGAACGAGTATGGCTATGCGAAATGAAGGAAGAACCAGTTCGAGGGAATTGAACAATTGGTGAAAAGTGCTTGCCACGGCTCCAATGACGAGCACTCGGAGGCGTAGAAGGCGACCGAGGAGGAACAATGGTGTCGTGAAAAGAGAGGAAGAGCGGTGGTGGTTATTGCATACGGGCCATGTCGCGTCTTTTCCGGATGAAAGTGCTCAAGTTGTGGAGACAGCGTTGGGTGATGGACAAGGGCGACGATCCTTATTCGCGGCCCCAAGCAGTTGATCCGTCACAAGATCAGGGGCCCAGCAGTAATAACGTCCCGAAGAGGGAGGCCAGGATGGGCGAGCTGCCCAGATCAGTGGACAGGGCAGAGCTCCGGTGGAGTGGATTCTGAATCGAGACAAGGTTGAGAGAGGGCTTGAGTTTTTGAGCGGAAAAGCAACAAGTGTGGTGAGTCTCTTCTTGGCGGGATGTATGTGATAAAGAGCGATGAGACTGATATCGATCCCTTGCAAAACAAGTCTACAATAGCCACCAGCAAGGAGGAGAGAGAGAGAGAGAGCAAAGAGATGGTGGAAGATCGTGAAGGGCTGAGACGAGGAACGACGGGAAACAAAAGTCTAAGGAAACGAACCTGCGATGGGGACCTTAACCGGAGCAGACCGAGCTATTGCGACGTCGCCGCTGTCGCCAACGAAGGGTGGACCACGACCGACTGCAGTGTGGAGATGAGAACAGGCCCTCTCCCAGGCACATTTTCCCTCTTTGGATTGGTGTTTAATGAAACGATAGCCCGGTGAGAGCGCGACACACAACGATGCTGCACACGTTCCTCGCGCTGGGGATTGGTGGCCGTATTGGCAACTTGTGTGCAATTTCGCACTTTCCCCCCTTTGGCGTAGCTTCATATCATCGGGGATAGGGCCTCCACGCGCGCACGTCAACAGCTTGAGTGGGGGAGGTCTTTTGAAGGAGGTTCAAGGGGGGAACAGAAGAAGGGGGGGTCAAAATGGAATCCTTTTTGCTGCAGCTGCAAGGAGTTCGTGGGCACTTCATCCAGATTCGCACCCACACTCGCATCAAGCCGGGCTCGAGTTGTGACGAAGTTCGGGTGACCTGCAAAGGGAGAGACGGCCAAGACCCCTGAAAAAAGGACATAACGACCCTTATGCGAATTCAACCCCGAAGACATTGGACAAAAACGCGTGATGAGCCACTTTGGAGGTTCCACGATAAGCAACATACAGTTTGATAAGACGCAATCCCCCGGAAAATACCACCTCAATAGAGTCCAGGATCAAGGGTGTTGCGAGATTCAACACCCGCGGACTCATCTCTTTTTCGAAGTTTCTACGGCTTCTCTCATTCGAAAATCTTTCGTTAGCCCACCGCCGGCCGCAGATTTAATGTCTGCGGGTTCTGCATTTCTGCAGAGTTCGGCCAACTGAAAGGTACATTACTCGAGATACTCACCGTACCTAACATTCTTGGATTGCCCGAAGCTTATTATGCTTGGTGCTAATTCGGGGGGTAAGTACCTAGGCAAGGGGGCTAAGAGAGGGGAGGGCATTTTAACCAGGGCCATGCAGAAGAAACGAGATGCGATGCCAAACCAACGGTACGTACCTCGCAGAAAAAGGGGTTTCCCCTGTGTCCCTGGACTAAGAAGCTCTTTTTTAGCTTGCATGCTCTTTCTGGGCCGGCTTCTCCATCCGAGCAACGAAAGACCTTGAAACTTATTTGTTCCCCAGGCCAGGTCAATACATCACTGCCGTGTTGATCCATTGACGAAACGAAACAAACATGGAGTCGATGGAGCCCGATGGCACCCTAGAAGCCCAAATACTACTGCGTAAACCCCCGACCACTGAGGAGCCTTTCTCCGTAGCGACGAACTCGATGCCGAGGTGGGAAAGCATATCCACGTTCTATCAAGGGAAGTGACATCAGAATCTCTCCGTCACAGGTGGATCGTCGACGTCAAAACGTGTCCGAACTTCAATGAAGATCTACGGGCGAGCACGACACCTTTTTCTCGTATTGCCTGCAGAAGTCTGTGGGCATATTCAAGGGACAAGAAACCCTCCACCGGATCGACAATGCTCCTTACGCGGGCAGCCGCCCTGCTAAGGGCGGACTTGGGAGTTGATTCATTCGTCTCTCTTGAACAACACCCCACATGCTGGTACCAGCACATGCGTAGATTATTTACCTTACGGTACTAAGATCACGCTAGATTCCAAGGAAGAGTGCGCTTCTTCTTCATGCCGTCCCTTATCTTGGATCCTTGGTGCAGGCTACAACAAGACCAGAATAAGAAATAGGTCAGGGCCCAGATCTAGGGAGGAGATGCACAACGCATGAAAAGGACGACGCGCCATGTTCCGCCCCCTTGGGTCCCGACCACCCATATACTGAAGGAAAACCCACCAGGCTCAAGTTGGACGACTTTGCATCTGCTTTTTCGGTTCCGACTTTGCGCAGCGCTTCAGCTGAGAGTTCTGTCAATAGCGTCGCCGCCCGCCACCTGCACCCTAAAAAAGACAAGAGGTCGGCCCGCACCAGCTAACCACAGCTAATGCAGTTCGCTCAGGCTTCGACCATCGTCGGTTGGAGAGGGGGCTTCGAAAAAAAAGGTGACCGAAAGAAAAATTCTTACATACGCTACTGGGAAGAGATCCAGATCCGACCAAGTTTCGAGTCTGGGTGCTCCTCACGACCATATTTCTGTCAATCTTGAAATCGCCTTTTGGCTTGCGTGGCTCACCTCATCTCGCGGCCTCTGCCGTGCGCCACAGTAATACACGACAGACGACGAAAGCATGCAAAGGGGTGATGGGAAAGGAGGTTCGCCGCAGAGGGCTACCATCGCGGTTGCCCACATGCACTTTAGACTCCCACCGTCTAGAAAGGATCGACTCGGTGCCCGGACGATGGTCGTGTCTGCCGGTGAGCACCCGATACGAGGTTCGGTTTGCGTCCTTCAGGTGGGTGAGTGACATTGACAGGTCCGTCGACACACACTCGACAGCAGCGAACTAAGCGTAGTAGGTCCCCAGAAAACGTGCGACCGAGCACAGGTTTCCCAGCGCCAGGTGACAGGAGATTCTGACTCGGCATTTGTTCATTCAGACGCAACGTGGGAAGTGAGTATGTTTGTCTTATGCTTGATCATTGCCAGTCTACTGTGTAAGAATTTCCCTGTGTTGCCATTCATCCTCGCGGCATACCTTATAATCGTGCCCGTAACCTCCCCTCTCTGGCTCTCTCTCTCTCTGTGCCATTGTACACATCTTACCTAGTATAAAGTCTCGTCTAGTCTAGACTAGAGCATATATTGCTTGCAAACCCCGGCCCATGAAAAGCAAACATATCGGGGAGGTGCTCAGACCCCTTTCAAAACAAAAACTCCTGCCGAATGACCCCATTTACCTGAGGCTTGACAAAACAATCTTAATAAACAAACAATGCAAACAAAACCCAAGCAATCAACCATCTCAAGGAGACGATCCCGTCTCTGTATTATGAAGTAGTCCATGTCGTTCAGCAGTCTCCCTTCCAGTTCTCCTTGATCCACTCGCCCATCTTGTACGTCAGCGTCTCGTCGGACCAGCTCAGCACGTCATTCTCGCTGTACTCGCCCCCGCTGAACTTGAGCGCAACAATGATCCACTGCAGGATGAAGTCGATGAAGACAATGTCCACCTTATCCGGCTCGCCCTCTTTGGGGAAGCCGATCTCCGTCTGGATGCAGTTGGGGACCTCGTAAAATGTAATGGGGGAGTGTTCCGTATCGTCGCCGTCGGTGCCGATGTCGTCCTTTGTGGTGTAGCCGCCAATGAGGTCCGGCTTCTTGGACTTGTCGTCATCGTCACTGTCGGAAAGAGGTTGCTGGTTGTCGGCGGGTGCGTGGCGGAGTTCCAGGCGGCGGGGTTCGCCGTCCGTTTGTGCGCTCTGCTCCTCCGTCTCGAGCATGACCATGTCGTTCTTGGGGTACATCATCTCGGGTATGTTCATAAATCGGACGTCGCTCGTGCCCGCCGTCTCCTGGAAAATCTTGCCGGCCTTGTTGAGGAGGTCGATGACGCGCTTGGCGACGGGGTAGGGCACGTCGGGGATGTACTTGAAGGTGCTCGTGAAGGGGGAGACGATGTAGGTGCTGTCCTTTGTGAAGGCGCCCTTGAAGATGTCGAAGCGGAGGCCGCCCGTGTTGACGATGGCCAGGCGCGGCACGTCTTTCCTGTCGTCCTTGTGGATCACGTCCGGGAGGACCTGCGTCTCGAGCCAGGTGAAGATGCTGTCGTCGCCGGGGTAGGCGGCGCGGTTGACCCACAGGTCCTGGGGCGCGCAGCCGTACTTGTAGTCCAGGTCGAGGGCCTTGCGGGCTTTGGTGATGAGCTTGCTGACGTTCTTGCCGTGCTCTGTCGGGAAGGTCGTCTCGTTGAGGCCGGTGTGGTGGTAGAGGCCCAGCAGATTGTTGTCGATGTACTTTCTCGTAAAGGAGACTGATGCCGCAGCCTCATCCGAGACCTCGTCTGCCGACTTTGACTTCTTCTTGACGTTGTTGACGGACATCCACCCGATGGTCTCGCCGTATCGACCGCTGGCGATGGCGTACGCCTCCCTGTCAAAGGAGAGCGCGTCGCGGACGTGGGCGTGGCCGCCGAAGAAGGCAATGGGTGCGAACCAGGCCTCCTTGCGTAGGGCGGTGAAGATGGCCTTGAATTCGGGCATGCGCAGGCCAACGTGGCCGATGACGACAAAGAGGTCGGGCTTCTCCTCGCGCAGCATCGTCTTGAACCATTCCTCCTTGACCGTGTCCTCGACCGGCTGGACGACCGTGTTGTTTGCATTGCCCGTGAAGTCGAAGAGGAAGCCGAGAGCGACAACGTTGAGCCCCTGATTCTTCGTCTTGAACTTACGGTAGCGCTTGGCCTGCGGGACTCGGTCGCCCGTTTTTGGGTCGATGTAGTCGAGGTTACTCGCAATGTAGTTTTCTCTGTAATTCGGCACCGTGATGTCGTGCTCGCGCTGGGCAGCGTCGGCCTGGTAGAGCTCGTGATTGCCCGTGCAGATGACGTCGACGGTCTGCTCCTTGAAGATGTCGTAGGTGAAGAGGCCTTTCGGGGAGGAGGCGTCGTAGAGGCCGTTGCCCTCTACGCGGTCGCCCGTGTCGATGACGAGGAGGTCGACACCTTGCTCGTCGGCCTTGCGGCGCATGTGCTCGGCAAAGGAGACATAGTCACCCCAGTCGGCAGAGTATTGTGGTTCGAGGAGGTGGCCGCCGAGCCAGCCGTGGATGTCGGTGGTGTGGAGGAAGTTGATTTGGCCCCAAGTTAGGTCGCGCATCGGGGCCGGGACAGGGGAGGCGGCGCCAGGTTGGGCGGCTGAGGCGAGGGGGAGGTAGAGAGCTGCCGCTGCGGCCGCGGCCGTGAGGACTGAGGGTGGTGATGATCGGTGTTTCGCCATAGCTGTGGTGTTTGTATGTGGTTGCTGGATTTAAGTGATGGGAGGAAGAATGAGAAGAAGTTGAGGAACTCGGGGAGATAGACACTACAACCCGTTCGCTTCGCCTTCTTGCGGGGGAGGAGACTGGGAATGCTGAGAGGCCAGACCGGCTTAACGTGATGCGTTGGCGAGTCACGGTCACGGGTGCCTGAAGGTGCGGCTGCGGATAGATAGAGAGCTTCCTGAAGCTGTCTCCGATGGGTGCCCCGGACAACCTGACCCGCTACGTCAGCGACGATCCCTCAAGGTTCTTGTTAGGATGCCACTCGCTTATCTGTACTGATAAGCGCGAAATGGGGGTAGAAGACTAACAGATACGAGCTGGGAGGTGTCTGAAACTGTCATGGTACCAGATGGCAGAGCTGGGGGTGCGGATCCACGTGCCCGGAACGATCCCCG